ACATTGCGAGGTGGTTACACAAAATCATGAATTAATTGGAATTAGACATGTGAAGCATTGAATCCCGACTCAATGGTGTAAGGGTTGATTTCTTGTTGTGAAAGTTGAAGATTTTAGTTCAAGTGCTCGTGGTGGGATCTTAGATGCATACTATTGAGGAATGCCACACTAAAACAAAACAATTAACCAATGTATCTTCAATTTCAATGGTTATCTAAGTAAAATAGGCTGTGTTATAAAATTTGAGACAATTCATTGTCAGTTTATACAACATCATTTTAAAGTAGATTAGTAAAACAGAATTTCTTCACAAGAGAAAAAACAACTGCAATGCCATGTAAAGAATTCGTTTAAATTTTCAAGTGGATAAATTCCAAAACTGTTTGAAAAAGTCGAAATATCGGTATTGTTCAGAATAACATTGAAAAAATCACCATACATATGCCATTTTCAGTAATACAAAAATGGATGAGATTGTTAACAACTTCATTATTTATCGCCCCCAAATGCCCTGGTATGGCCGAGAGTGGGGTAGGTCCGCCCTCCCTCTCGAAATGCTCTCACACAGCCACGCGTATACAGCCTCTATCAGGGAAGTCCTACTCACTACCTTCTCGCACCAGGGGTGTTGTTTACGAAAATAAGAGGACGAAAAGCGAATGTCCGGCACTTTAACCGGATCCCAAACCAATGGTGCACATGGGCTCCAGTATCCTGCGGGAAAAAATGGCGTGTGAACCAATTTTCGGTCACCGGCTACCATGGGAATGCATCTCCTCACGATGCTCCACTGACTTGTGGGTTAGACCTTTAGGTCAAAGACTCGGGGTGTGGCCCCCTAGGAAAACCAGCTGCTTCGATCTGGGCACTCGGGCAGTATCACAGCCTTCACACAAAGTGTGGCGCATATATATTTGGTGCCCTCTTGTACCAATATTTATGTGTTCAAATAAATAAATAATCGTCACATAAGACAAGAAAAGAGGTGGATTACAAATAAGCTTGTTTAATTCAAAGTATTTTTTTATATAGCTAATTAGACAGTTTATTTTTCAATCAAGTTGTTGAACACCTTAGCAAATCTGAATGCTAGACTAATAAACTAAGCAAATCATGATAGTCAACCATGTGAATCACTTGATTCAATTATCCGAGGGATAGTCAAGAACTACATATAGATTAGAACGAGTGTTTATTATTACACAAATACAAGGCAGTTAACAAGTATAACCAATTTTATATACAAGATAGTTTCACGTATTGAGTGTGATAGTATGTGTCTATCCTCGTTTATTGGTCAGTCAGGGATCACAGCTACCCAACACATGAAAATCATAATACTTTTCACTTGGTATTGTTTGGCTTGTATCTTCCCATTGAGGTTTAAGACTGCAATTGATCAGTCTGTTATTGGCATATGTGCATACTGTGCGTATGCCTCGATATTGCCTTAATTCACAAGCTTTTTGTAAGCAATGATGGCATATATACCAATAACAGACTGATCAATTGCAGTCTTAAACCTCAATGGGAAGATACAAGCCAAACAATACCAAGTGAATTTAAATTCACCCCATTGTACAAGTAAGTGGCTATCAGGACACAGTAGCTGAGTGCATAACGCGAATGGTACTGGGTTCGAGTCCCGGAGTGAACACCAACTCTGAGATGCAGACACATCTAGCTGACGAGTCGCATATGGGACGAAACGCGAGTCTTGAATTCCACTTCTAGCCACTATCCATCATTGCTTAAATAATACTTTTGTTTTACATACTTCTTTCTATGGACATAACAATCAATATCATCATACCAGTTAACAGGCTAACATATACTATGGTTATAGATCATGATTTCCTATTGATAAATACACAAAATAATAACAAACTTAGACGTTTTATACAAAAGGAGTAAGTATTTATCATCTAATTATGCAAAAAGTATTTTTGATTCAGATGGTACACCGAATAGTAATCAATTGGCTACTATCATTTGTCCGCATTTCTTTCTTTCTCTCTCTCTCTCTCTTCTTTTTGTAATATTTGCTTTGTATGTTTGACCTATGTTAATACCTATCACTAACATTCTTCATAAGTTCTGCCAACTTTTATTTAATTATAATAACAGTTGTATTGATTATTTTTATTACATTTTAATTTTTAATTTGCAGTACATATAATTTCAACATTATTCGATGGAAACATCTGACCCTCAATCAATTTAGTTATCCAAGTAACTGTAGTTTCACATACCATTTTTAACTAATAATTAGCACCGTTATTATGGTTACTTTCTGGAGTTGTTGTGTTCTTTTAATATTGGAAAAAGCTAGTTTAGCACTTGTGAAATATGCCCCCAAATTCTCTTGTACAGCCGAAAGTGGGAAGATTCAGCTCTCCCTCTCGAAATTCTCTCACATGGTCACGTACATACAAGCACTATCAGAGAAGTCCTACTCACTGTCTTCTCGCACCAGGGGTGTTGTTTATGAAATTCAGAGCACAAAAAGTGAATATCCGTCGCTTTGGTGGATATGGAGGATCGACTTAGGAGGGTTGGAAAACCCTGATTCTAAACGTCGGCTCCGGGATCCTGATGGATCAAATGGCGTATCAACCTATTGTCAGTCACCGGCTAATATGAGACTGCATCTCCTAACGTTGCTGAATTGTCTTGTGCATCAGACCTTTAGGTCAAAGGGTCCGAGTGTGTCTCCCTAAGAAAACCATCTGTTTCTGTCTTGTCCCCCAGGCAGTATCACAGGCCACACACAAATGAAGTGAATTGTGTGATGCATATATATTCGATGCTACTTTGTACCAATAGTTATGTCTTCAAATAAATAAATAAATAAAAATTGTGAAATAAACATCTCACTTCTAATATGGAGTAGGTGCTGTCAGTGATAATCAACACATGTTTCTTGTTCTTGTTCAAGTTATCATCTCATTCACCTTGGTTGTACTTTCATCTATAAAATTGAACTTGTATGAATATAATTAAGATTATTCTTAGTTAATAATGAACTAAATTGTTTTATGGATGTTACACACAAAGTTACAATCTATTTATTTCTATCAATGAGTGTATATGACATGAAATGAAATAGATTAACGTCATTCTACAATGTGAACAAAGTGATTGTAATTTCGAATAATTGAGTATAACGTATTCAATCGTGTTTGGTTTCCATTCAACAATGGGAAATGTTACCTATGGGATTCTTAACATAACTGAAAGTCAATTAATACAGAATACTTTTACTGGTTAGCGTTTTTGGGCGAGTTAATTTTCTACCCTCCTCCTTTATCCGGGCTTGGGACAAGCAGTAGCCCCAGAGGGGCTCCAGACAGAGTTAATTAATACAGAAAAGTCAGTCATAAATAGCTCAGTAGTTAAATTTCCAAATGCAGTCATTTAGTTACGCATATTCAACGTAGAACTTGGAATATATATGTGTATTGTTTCAAACTGACATTACTTATACAACGATTGAGATGCAAGAAGCATTAGATAACTGTTTCGTCCTAGTGTGACATTCCTCAACAGTATGCATCTAAGGTCCCCTAACGAGCACTGGGACCAAAATCTTCAGCTCTTACAATGAGCAATCAACCCTTACACCATTGAGTCGGCATCCAATGCTTCGTATGTCTAATTCCAATCGATTCATGATTGGAAAGAAATGAAGTTTACTTAACAATTATTGGACGAATTCCATAAATTTTAAATTCTAAAGGAGAAATACAGGGTTTCTTTACAAGTCAGTATTAGTTCATTCAATAATTTCTGGACATATATTTTTAATACTAAAGGAAATGTTCCATTCGATGATTTTCTTTTCGAGCACCGAAGTGAAATTCTCATCATAAAACATCTGAAAGAACTCAAGTAATTGATATTTTCGCTAGTGAAATCCCTTTTGGGTCAGTTTCCCGTCGTTAGTTAATTAACGCTTCAATGAGGAACTGTTATTTTTATCTCTTATCACATGACTGACAAACGAAAGAATAAACTTCAATTTGTGAGACAGACTTAATGATGTTATCATTATTAGTAAAGGTCTGATTAATGTTCAGCAGCGTTTCTGAGCTCTGTGAGAATCGACCAAGTAGCACCTTTTTAACACAAGTTTTACGGAATAGATGGATTGTGGCTAATGGCAAAATTTATGGTGTGTATAATGTCCTATTTTCGACTCGTCAGTTGAATGTATCTTTATGCAAGTGCTAATGTACACACCTAGACCTGAACTAGGTACATTTTGCTTTAAATGCCAATCATGTTATCCACTCAGAAATTACAAACGCTTATTACTAACTTTATATCTGTTGAACACGTTAGTAGCTAGTTGGACTCAGTAGTTAAGTAGATGATGCGTTAACGTCCGAAGTGAAATGTATTATATTCCATTCCCATTGTGAAAATCGGTACTAAGATGTAAAAGATACATACAACTGATGAGACTCACACTCGAACTTTATCGCACTATTCATCACCATCTATCTATTCTATAAAATTGATATCAATCAGTGAGGGTAGACAGTAAACATCATAGACCTGAGAGCAAGTTCCACCTTTTAAAAGTCTATTAAGTATGACATTTGTTTCGATATTCCAAAATGAGAACAGATTTCCATCCCAGAAACATTAGTCAATACAGTAAAGAGTCAACCTGTTGGCTGGACATAGATTAGATTAAAGCATGTTCCATGCACGATCACGTTGGTGCATACTAATTCATTAACTCTTATCCAATCAGTGCTAGTCGATACACAGAGAAAGACTCTAGAATCTTCCCATATAAATACTACTTCCATCTAAACTTTTTATATGGAATATAATCTGTTTCCTGTTCAATCGTGTTCTGATTTCGGGACTTGTCGACTGAATTGATGTCCAAGACTACTAAGCAATAAGAATAGCTTGGTTGTATAATAAGAGAGAATTATAACACAATCAATCGATCAATCAATCAATCAGTTACACAAACACCAATATGATGCAATAAATCAATTACTATTCAATTGTAAATAATAAATTTTTTTTCAAAAATTCTTCTCATAATACAAACTACTGCTCTGTTGTTACACAACAACAACACCATCATCATGATCATTAAAATAAATAGTCTGTTCACATATTATGATAATTGATCACCGCAAGATTATTTAGATAATAAATAATACAATATTTGTATACAAAGAATAGAATATGAAGTGTGTAAAATGTAAGAGAATGACAAAGTACATCTATATTGTCAAAGAAATCAATACACATTAATAAAAGAAGAAAAAAAAAGAGAAAAAGAACAACAACAACAACAACAACAACAAAAAAGAAAAGAACAATCAAAGATAAATAAAGAAAAAAGAAGTCAAAATGATTATCAAAATTAATCAAATATGAAGTAAATAGAATCATCAAATATATATTTATTATGAATAATATTACATCATTAGATAATAATGATTAAATGAATAAAGATATGAATGGGATAAACAATCATTGATTATTATGTCCAAAAAGGTCAACTACTCCATATACTGCATATGCGCTTGAGTTCTAAACATTCAATTACTGTAAATAAATAAGGATAGAATCATTAAACCATATAATATTTCAAATAAGCTAATTGATCCTAGTTCATTATAGATCTGTGATAATCCCTATCTCTCTACACCCACAGACATACATACACACACACACACACAAGGAGAACAAACAGAGGGTAAGTTAACAGTACAAACAATCTGTTCAATCTGGGCAATTGAAATTTTCACAATCATGATTGATATAAATGGAAAAGAATACAAACATTAGTAATATGCATACATATGTGTAATAGTATTATTATTATTATTACTATTATTAGAAAAATAATGTGTAAATTCAGCAGAATGTATAATGTTTAACAAACATTCAATACAAAACCAACTTACATAATGAATCAATTCAAGAAGAAGAGAAAGATAACGTTTAAACAACGAAAGAAAGAAAGAAAAAAGAAGAGGAAGAAGAAGAAGAAGAAGGAGGAGGAGGAGGAATAATACAAACATCATTTACAGATATATGGAGACAGTGGGGTTTAACAACCAAACACACAGAGACAGAAATAAAAAAAACAAAAAACTGAATTCCATCATTTAATTGTATAATAATATCACTAATAATGATTGTTTGAAGAACTGGAAGAAGAAGAAACACGATCGGTTTCAGGAGAAAATGAAGAAGCTGTAGTGATTGGTGTTGATTTATTATCAACCCCATGGTGATGATGATGATGATCATTGATTGGAAGATTATTGTTATTATTATTATTATTACAACTGATGACAGAGTAATTTACATCATTAATAATATTAGATAAAGCAGTATAATATTTTGGATAAGGCTTGAAAAGATATGAACATGGAAGTAGCCAAGAGTAAAATGGACCTACAAAAGAAAATAATAATAATGAAACAATTAACAATACATATATAAACAGTAGTTGTCTATTTTACATGATCATTATAGCAGCTATACAAGGAGTAATTCTATTCAACTTATTAACTGAATACAGATTCGTATAATTAGCTTTGAGCTAAACTCTAATTGTGAGAATTAGTGGTATTACCTGGTTACTCAAGCTTAATTAGGTAGAATGAGGTTTGAACCCGAGGCTAAATATCTTAAAGTTAAAACCAATTGCAATTATCTAGTGTAATATTGTCTCTTTTATAATCCAAATGATTTATTACTGTACTTCTTTATTTACCATATAGTACACCTGCTAGAGAGATAACTAATACGTTAAGGCTTTTGACATAGCCCAGTTACTGAAACAGAGGTATATGGTATGGTGTTTGAACCTGTAGCTAAATGTCTTCAAGTCAGAAGCCTTAACTAAAAAGAGCCAGAGCATTAGAAGGTGTACTGTATGATAAGTTAAGAAGTACAATAAGAAATAATTCGATTTTGAAAGAGACAGTATGAAACCACTTAATGGTAATTAGTTTGTTCTTTCAAAATTAATCGGTTTTTACGTAATATAACAAAACGAAAGATGATTTAACATAGTATGTCGCTGTTTTAAATCATACAGGGAATACTGTCAAAAGCGATTTATGGAGACAAATTTTATATCACGTGGGAGACAATTAGCCACATATGACACTGAAAGATTATTGTGAAATACCATACAATGATTAAAGTTCGACACGTAAGCCATCAGATGTTAGTTTTGTGGTCTAAAGATTAGGCGCTCCTCACGAGACCTGTACGTTCTAGAGACAATCCCTGACGAGGTGTTGTGGACGTGTACTGTTCCTGAGGAGACCCACATTGGGACGAAACAGCTGTTCAGTACTTACTGGTTGTCAGTGATTCGTTAACTAAGATTAATCGATTATGTGAATTAGAAAAGAAATATTCACTTGTATTAAAAGCACTATTCTACAGTACTGACTACACCTCAGAAAGTAATCAAATCAGTGGATTGATTATAGTTTAACTAGAAACAATTACAGTCAAACAAGTTCAAAATAACCAGACGTTTTTCTATAAAAGGGTTATTTATCTTAAAAAAGATCTATATGATATCAGATAATCAGTTTCTAATGTGTGACATAGGTAATATAATAAAGTGCACGACAGACTGTTAAATGAAAAGTCGAAGCTATATATATATGATTTAAATTACTGAGATTTTTATAAATATGTATTTATTTATTTGAACACATAAATAGTGGTACAAAGGAACACCGAATACATATGCTCCACAGTTGGTTCATACGCCATTTGTTTCTTCAGGATGCTGAAGCCGATAAGCACCATTGGTTTTTTGAATTAGGGTTTTCCAACTCCCCTAGATGGAATCTCCGTGTCCACCAACCCAGTTAAAACGCCGAACATTCGGGTTTCGTCCTGTCTCTATTTCGCAAATAACACTCTCCCTATGAGAAGGTAGTGGGTAGGACTTCTCTGACAGTGACTGTAAATGCGTGGTCATGTGAGAGCATTTCGAGAGGGAGAGCTGACTCCCTACCCTCGGCCGTACCAAGGCATTTGGGGGCCAAATATGTAATTTGTTATAACTGGACGAGCATCAGAAAAATTAGAATTATTTTTCGGATTACTTACTTACTTCCTTACGCCTGTTACTCCCAATGGAGCATAGGCCGCTGACCAGCATTCTCCAACCCACTCTGTCCTGGGCCTTCTTTTCTAGTTCCATCCAATTCTTGTTCATTTTTCTCATGTCTATCTCCAGTTCTCGGCGTAATGTGTTCTTTGGTCTTCCTCTTTTCCTTTGACCTTCAGGATTCCATGTGAGGGCTTGTCTTGTGACGCAGTTCGGTGCTTTCCTCAATGTGTGTCCTATCCACTTCCAGCGCTTCTTCCTGATTTCTTCCTCCACTGGGATCTGGTTTGTTCTCTCCCACAGTACGTTGTTGCTAATAGTGTCCGGCCAATGGATCTGAAGTATTTTGCGTAGACAACTGTTAATAAACACCTGTATTTTCTGGATGATGGCTTTTGTAGTTCTCCAGGTTTCCGCCCCATACAGTAGAACTGTCTTGACATTTGTATTGAAAATCCTGACCTTGGTGTTGGTTGACAGTTGCTTTGAGCTCCAGATGTTCTTCAGTTGTAAATATGCTGCTCTTGCTTTGCCGATCCGCGCCTTCACATCTGCATCAGATCCACCCTGTTCATCAATGATGCTGCCCAAATATGTAAAGGTTTTTACATATTTTATTGTGTACTTAGTAGGTAACTGTATTATTGTATATCAATGTTTTCCTTATAGTAAGCTTCGAGTGGACCAATTAACTGTTATTATACGTCTTTCTATACCATAGTTATTAATAATTATGTTACTGTTTGCTTCGCTCTCTACCATTTATGGCATGATTATGTTCAAAGTGTGGTTTCCTATTTGATGTGCTGTGTGATCTGAAAATTCGAGTATACAGACTAATGCATGTTTGAGATGGTTTTAGATTGGGTTGGGTGACTGAAATATACATATGATAGAAACTGATAGAAACTGCTGATTTTTCTTGAGACTCAAAGAAGGAGATAGAGAAAAAGCTTGAGGATAATATAGCAGACCAATAATAGAGGAGCTTAATTTGGCTTAAGGTTAGTTATGTTTGTGTGTCAGAACACACAATCGGTCAAGTCAAGGACGTTAGATTATAGGAAGAATAGTAGAAGCGGTGTGGTGTGTGCTACTGATGTCGACAGATATGAGTAGTATGTGTCACCAGTCGAAAGTGGAATGCCGGGCAGCAGAAAGTTGAGAAAAACAAAGAGATGAGGATGAGAACAAAGAGTGATTGATAAAGAAAATTCAAGGAATAACAAACTCCGAAACAATTGACGGATATTTTGCAAATAAAGTATTTACTGTATGGTCGTCAGATTTTACCAAGATATTCTGTAATGTTGTATCAAAATACATTGGATTGTCGCCACTGGTGTTCTCATCCACGACAGTGGACCAGAAAAGTAATTAGAATTAAAATTCTGTTTGGTAAACTAAGCACAGGATATCGATTAGCATCTAGAATCATAATCTAATTTCATTTACGATGTCTTCTGCTTCTCAATGTTATGTACCAGTGCTATCTTTTCAAATCAGTTTTTAAGGGAAATATTTTCTAATTCTCCTGAATAGCTGTAATGCCATTTTGGACAACGTTTTCTGATGACTTTTTTCTACCTATCTGAAGTTTTACACACTGATGGCAATTCCAATATGGTTGATTCGTAGACTGACTAGAAATACTTAAAAAGTAACTATTAATGGGGGAGTGTTTTGTAAAATTACAGTTCATATTGTTATAAATTTAATGTGTAACAAACAATATGGCAAAAATTGTATCTAATCAAATGAAGTAGTGACCCTGTGGTTAAAAAATTACTAATTTTTCAAGTAGTATATGACAGTTTGGGCAGTCTAGCAGGTGGTATATGAACACTAGCCTTTATAATACAAGTCAAGTAAACAATAAACATGGACTTGGTAAATGAATAACAGTAGGACAAATGATTGGATTCACTTTGATGTTTGAATTGTATATTACAGAAAAACTGCACAGTAATTTAAATTTGAAAATAAAACTTTTCGAAAAGTCGGATATTTCAAATAGAATGTGACTAGTAAGTTTGGTGCAAAATGTGCATATTTTCATATTTGGGACTCATTAGCTGGATGTATATGCATTTCAAAGTTAATATAGTGAACATCAACAACTCTAAGACTCAGGTACATCCAACTGATGATTTCCAAACAGGATGAAATACGAGTCCTGGATTTTATTGCTAATCACAGTCTATCTCTTCTGGATAAACTTGTGACAATGTGTAACATCGAGATAAACTGCATGTAAAGTACATTTCAAAATATCAAGAATGGGATAATGGAAACTTGTATAAATTAAATCTATTCTTTTAAAACTTGAAATAGTTAGGTTTTGAATCAGAATAGACCTCGAAATCTCAACCCTATTTGACTGATAGTCACAAAAAATTCTTCTCCACCTAGGTACCTACTTTACTGAATGCAAATGATTGAAGAGAACAAGTTGACTGCAGTAATTTTACAAAAACAAATTGCACTTGTTCAGTGAGTAAGATAAGTGAACTTAGATATTAATTTGTGTTTTTCTAAATGAAAGACCATATTCAAAACACCATAGTATTTCTATGTAAATGATAAAAAAAAGATTTTATTCGAATGGATATGAATTGTAAGCAATAAAAAAAGTAATAATAACTTATTACTACTGACCACTTCCAAAAACCTCACGAAACAGAGTCAATTTGGATAATTTACGACGAAATCCTCCACTACCAACACCACCGTTGCCACCACCATTTGGATAAGCTTCTGTATCGGATGAAGAATGTGGAATATTACCCGATAACCAAGCTTCAACTGCTGTTGTATCTTCAACGATCGACTTGTACTGATTCATAATCAATATTGTAGTTCAGTAGGATTATGTAAGGGAAAAAAGAGAAATGCATATTTAAATGTGATCGAGATTTTCCTATCATTCAACTAAATACTCAATTGATACACTTATTTATTTATTATTTGAGCACATAAATATTGGTACAAGAGGGCACCAAATATATATGCGCCACACAAAACAATGAGAATTTGAAGAGAAGGAAAAAGAAAAAAAGTAAGGAGCGTAAAAGAAAAAAAAGAAGAACAATAACGACCAGATAAGTGTAAAGTAGTGTACAAATAATAATAAAAAGTTATAATGGGGGAAACGGAAAGGTACAACCGGAGGAAATCTTTCAGTTAAGAAAGATAAAACAACTTTTCATGAAGAAAGTAAAAGAAGGTTACAGCAGGATCGCCACTGGCTTCTATTCTGAGCCATATCTGATAACGTCTCTAGCCACTGTGTTGCACCATCTCTCGGACCCCAGCCAGGGAGTCGTGAAGGACCAACACAAGCCAGTCCTTTGCAGCTTTCTTTCATGCCACGACACCATGTCATACACTGACCACCTCTCCGCTTCTTCCAACCAGTCCCAGAGTCGGCAAATAACGCACGACGTGGAATTCTCTGGGACGACATTCGGAGAACATGTCCAAGCCACCGAAGTCGGTGTTTCAAGATGGTGACACCAATTGAGTTATCATCTCTGTGCCCGAACACACGATGCCGAACCTCTGCATTACTGACATGGTGTTGCCACTGAATGTCAGCAATCCTTCGGAGACAGCGATGATCGAACACAGAGAGTCGTCTAACGTCCTCAACTCGGAGAGGCCAGGTTTCACAAGCATAGAGCAAAACTGCTCTCACCGACGCGTTGTAGATCCGACCTTTTACGGCCAGACTAACATCACGAAGGCGCCATAGATGGCCCAGATTAGCATAAGCCGCTCTGGCTTTCACTATACGTGCATTGATCTCATCACTCACACCCCCACCAGCACTTATGCAGCTACCCAGATACACGAACTTCTCGACTACTTCTATCTGTTCACCATCCAGGGTGAGTACAGGATTAGAATCCTGCCAGTCTTGTAGAACTACTTTGCACTTCGAAGGTGCAAAGCACATACCATACCTACGGACACTGATTGCCAACTGATTAAGTGCGGATTGCATGCCTTGGGCATTATCGCACAGTAAGACAATATCGTCCGCATACTCAAGGTCGAGAAGTCTTTCTCCAGGCAACAGATCCACACCACCATTACTTACATTCATCAGAGCTGTTTCCAGAATGTCATCGATGGCAAAGTTGAAGAGGAATGGTGAGATTGGGCAACCCTGCCTAACCCCACTGCTCGAATGGAACAATGGAGAAAGGTGGTTGTATGCCCTCACTCTGCCTGAGGTGTTTTTATACAGGGCTTTTAGGATGTTAATAAACTTCTCAGGCACACCCTTCTTCAATAGACAATCCCAGAGAACAGTCCTATCCAACGAATCGAAGGCAGCCCTGATGTCAAGAAACACTACGATTATTGGCCTTTAAAAAGTATGGCGGTGTTCCAACATTTGGCGGAGGGTGAAGATATGATCAATACATCCTCGATCAGAACGAAACCCAGCCTACTCCTCGCGAGTCAATCTTTCTCGGGTTTTGAACAACCTACGAAGAATGACGGAAGCCAATAGCTTGGACGCAATCGGAAGTAAACTTATCCCCCGGTAGTTGTTACAAGAACGACGTGAACCCTTTTTAAAGATAGGGACAACTATCGACTCATTCCATGACGTTGGTACACTCTCTAGTTCCCAAACCTTTGTAAACAACACAGTCAGTTCCTTATCCAGAAAGTCACCACCATCTTTAAAAAGAGCCGGAGGTAAGTCATCTGGGCCAGGTGATTTGTAACGCTTCAAGAGTTGGAGTTCCTTGCGGACTTCCTCCTCATTTGGTGGATCAGTCTTCACCGGCCATGGATGGCAGGACAGTCTGACCGATGTTGCCGGAGCAGCAGGCCAGTTGAACTGCGCTTCGAAAAATTCTGCCCATCGTCCAAGACGTCGATGGATGTTAGTGATTGGCATCCCATCATCCTCGCAGATTGTTTCACTCACACCAGACTTCTTGCTGCCAGTGGCTCGGATGAGTTGGAAGAGCTTCCGGTAGTTACCAGATGCAGCTGCTGCTTCCAGCTCATTAGCACGCTCCGACCACCAGGCTTCTCGGTACTTATGCAAGCTTTGTTCAATTTCATTATGTAACAGCCTTCGTTTGTGGTCAAACTCACGGTCATCCGGAGTAGACTGACGGGCTTCAATGAGTTGTAAGGAACCTGCAGAAACCCAGTGCTTATAAGCGGGACGTTTCGCGAACCCACAACTGACAGTTCCCGCCATTTTCATGGCGTCATGCAATTGCAACCAATGCTCATCTATACTTTTCGGTGGAGTGGTAGCTAGCCTAGAGGCTAGTTCGGTTCGATACTTACTTGCAACAGAAGTTGCAACCAGCTTGCTAACATCAATCCGTTGGTGGCGGTCACTTCGTTGTCCACTGAAAAGTAAGGCAAGATTGGCGGAGACCAGGGCATGGTCAGAGTCCAGATAGGTACTCCAAAAGGAGCGGCAGTCTTGTACACAACCACGCCAGCGGTAGCTGATCGCGATGTGATCAATCTGAGTCCAGGCTTGAGATGCAGAGGGAGGACGCCAGGTGGCACATCGGCGATGACTGTGCCGAAAGTTAGTGCTAGCCAGAAACAGGTTGTGGTCTGTGCACAGTTGCAGTAGACGGTCCCCGTTATCTGACCTGCGACCAACGAGTCCCCATCGGCCACCTAAACGACTCTCTTCTGTGCCTAGACGCACGACCTGAGCATTCAAGTCTCCGGCTAGTACTACAATATCTGGCGAACGCACTTTCTGGAGAAGAACAGATAACTGGTGGTAAAACTCATCCTTGATTGCATCCGGGCTGCAATCTGTCGGGACATAGGCGGAGATGACGAAAAGACATCTTTTCTCACGCCGATTTCTTCTCACTTTGATGGAACTTTCTAATCTAACAGCACATAACCGACTGTTAATAGGGACCCAATCGATTAGTGCTGCCTCAGCTCTAGCGCTTAGTGAGGCACCAACGCCAGCAAGACCAGACGAAGATGTCACAAAGTACCCGGATAAACGCATGTAAAACAAGCTTTTCGAAGCGACAGATGGAGATCGAATTTGTAGTACTTCGCCAGAGTCTTGAATACGGGTCTCGGATAGACAACAAACGTCCATATTAAGACTTTCCAAAGACATAGCCAGCCCTATCTGTTGTCTAACCTGCATAAGTTTGCGAATGTTGAAGGCAGCCAGTTTGAATGGTGCACGTGATTTTAGAAAAAAATGATTCGTATTTGGCGGTAGCGAACAATTTACAACCAGGCGTTGAATCGAGAACGTTTAGACAGAGCCACATTTCCACCACAGGTGAGCAGCTGTATAAGTCGAAAAATAAGTAAAGACAGAGTGGGGATAAAAGAGGGTGAATAATGACGTAGTAAATAATAATAATGTGAATCGTTTGATTGTTAATCAAAGCGTGAATAGAATTTTCAGTAAATATCGTCATTTTCATTTTATTTGTGTGTGGGCTGTGATACTGCCCGGGTGCCCAAACCGAAGCAGGTGGTTATCTTAGGGGGCCACACACCCCGAGCCTTTGACCTAAAGGTCTAACCCACAAGGCAGTGGAGCATCGTGAGGAGATGCAGTCCCATGGTAGCCGGTGACCAACGATTGGTTCATACGCCATTTGTTCCTGCAGGATACTGGAGCCCATGTGCACCATTGGTTTGGGATCCGGTTAAAGTGCCGGACATTCGCTTTTCGTCCTCTCAATTTCGTAAACACCCCTGGTGCGAGAAGGCAGTGAGTAGGACTTCCCCGACAGATGCTGTATACGCGTGGCCGTGTGAGAGCATTTCAAGAGGGAAGGCAGACCCACCCCAATCTCGGCCATAGAGCATTTGGGGCTCGACTCAATACTCAATTGTTACACTCTACACAGACTTAGTTCATATTATACCAGGCACATGATTCAACATCAAATATAGAGAACCAGAGTATAGACTACATAATACATTATTCCAAGCAGCCAATATACATTTATTTATTTATCTATTTTAACACATAGATATTGGTACAAGGAGGCACCAAATACATATGTGCCACACAAATCTCATTCGATATGTGTGAGGGCTGTGGTACTGCCCCTGGTGCCCAAACCGAAGCAGGTGCCAATATACATAGTGTAAATCGATAATAGAACAAAAAATCATATGTTTACGATGTCAGTAAGGTCAATATCTTTCAATTAACACACCGTATCCAATCATATTCTACTTTTACTAGCCATATATTAATAAGTGGTTAGAAATATGAACAGTAAGAATAAATAAGATATAATCTCCAACGTGGCGGTTTTGTCCACGAAATTCTGAGGACGAGAAGCGAATGTCTGGCACAGGCTTTAACAGGGTTGTTGGATATAGACGATTCACCTAGGGGAGTTGGAAAACCTTGATTCCAAACCAATGGTGCACATGCGCTTCAGGATCCTGAAGGAACAAATGATGTATGAATAAATCGTTGGTCACAGACTACTATAAGACTGCATCTCCCAAAGTTGCTTCACTGCCTTGAAAATCAGACCATTAGGTCAAAGTTTCGAGATTTGATCCCTTGAGAAAATCACCTGTTTCGGTTTGGGCATCCAAGCACTATCCCAACCCTCACAAAAATCAAATGATTTATGTGGTGCATATCTGTTTGGTGCCTCCTTGTACCAATGTTTATGTTTTCAAATAACCTGGTAAAATACATATACATTAGATTTCTCCGAAATCATATGTCAAAATACATTTTATTGTACACAAGGTAAACTTTAAAATAAAAGTTTTGATATCTTTTCTAACAATCAAGTATTTCAACTGAAAGGATCGATTTATGTTGAAATGGAATGTTACGATATTAAGATCAGAAATCCTTTCTAGAAAGAAAGTAATATTGTTTATACTGTCAAAAATAGAGTTAGAAAATTCAATGATTATTTTTTAATAGTTCTGTGAAGTTGAATCTATTGTTAGTTTGCTTTGTAGTACTCACCCACCCTACAACAATAAAGGAGACATGTTACACATTCATACCGCGTTTGGAGACGACGTCTTTCTTTTGGTAGACAGTTGTTTTAGTAAGCTAGACATTGAATTTACTTTCAAGATATTTGTAAGTAAATTAATAGGTATACATTGTTTGCAAAGATCAATATTTATAAGTCTTTACCATTAAATCATCGTGGGAGGATTGTATTTCTGATTAGTCGGTGTTAAGACTGTGGGAATTATGGCAACCAAGTAGAGAGAATTGAAGCTACATCTTATTTTAGTTCAATATATAATGAATGTATATTAAGGACAGTGTTTATGGCCACTGAATTTATAAACTAGCCTAATGATATGGATGGAAACGTTGATATAGAATGCAATAAAACTTCGTACAGACACAGATCGATGACCAGATTGACATATTGAATAAGCAGTATTAAGTATGTGCCTCATCGACCAAGCAAACTAGCTACCTAGATAAGCAGCAATCGATTCAACACATTATACTGTTATCGTCGTCTGATAAATCAGAAAACTAGTATAACATACAAATCGAAGAACGAAACTTAAAGACCTGGATGTTGTGTCGAAGGCTCAAACTGCTGAACCGTACACACAGACTAATGATAATTCAATACCTAGACTGGTTATAAGGATTTAAGTAGCTACATGCGTTCAGTGGCTCACTTATTCTGGAAGACTCATCAGTCCTGGTTCCGTGGTGCCTGACGAAATGTCCGCACAGACTCAGGTGTTCGAGTGGCTTTCATCAACTTACGTCATTTGTGGCCTAGGCGAAATCTCAATCACTCCCAATCAAATAACAAATATGCTACTCAACATTACTTTATGATTGTAAATCATGCCTTGTAGAAGTAGTAGACAAGTGTAAACTGCACTTTTTCAATCATAGGTATTTTCGAAGTATTGTTCGTGCCTCGTGCAACGATCGAGTGATGATCAATGTTGAGAATAGAGGATGAATCTTCATTTATTTATTTATTATTTATTTGGACACATGAATATTGGTACAAGAGAGCGCCAATATATATGCGCCACACAAATCAATGAAAATTCGAGAGGAATACAAAGAAAGAAAAAAAAACAACTAAAGAGCGCAAAAGAAAAAGAGAACAATAACGAAGAGATTGGTGTAAAGGTAGTGTGGTAGTAACGAGGGAACGAAAAGGTACAATCAGAAGAAATCATTCAGATAAGGGAGTGTTAGGATAGTCGGAAAAAGAGACCAATAATTATAATGTTAAGTCCAATGGTGTCCTTGGACCTTAAATGTACATTTCCTATTGGTCGATATTTGTTCACTTGTTAAATATTGTACAAATGTTGTTTCCTATTTTATGGTACGATATGGTTTGTTTGCTTGGTATATAAATAGAGTATGTTTGAAATACAATGATTCATAACTCCGAGGCTGTGACTTGTGTTCTTCACTCAACTGGGCTAGGACGGACAGCGAAGCAGGGCCAATCAGGGCACTAGGTCGTCCGTACGTGTTTTCCGTGTCACTGTTACAGATCGTGCCCGAACACACGATGCCGAACCTCTGCATTACTGACATGGTGTTGCCACTGAATGTCAGCAATCCTTCGGAGACAGCGATGATCGAACACAGAGAGTCGTCTAACGTCCTCAACTCGGAGAGGCCAGGTTTCACAAGCATAGAGCAAAACTGCTCTCACCGACGCGTTGTAGATCCGACCTTTTACGGCCAGACTAACATCACGAAGGCGCCATAGATGGCCCAGATTAGCATAAGCCGCTCTGGCTTTCACTATACGTGCATTGATCTCATCACTCACACCCCCACCAGCACTTATGCAGCTACCCAGATACACGAACTTCTCGACTACGTCTATCTGCTCACCATCCAGGGTGAGTACAGGATTGGAATCCTGCCAGTCTTGTAGGAGTACTTTGCACTTCGAAGGTGCAAAGCACATACCATACCTACGGACACTGATTGCCAACTGAATCTTCATAGACTGATATTGTTGAGACAAGTGTTATATATACCAAACCATTACCCAGCTCGATGTGTAATGATTGGATAATATAGGAATAGTTTGCAAAATGACTAAGAATGCAAAAACCAAAACGTTGCACCAGTCAGTTAATGAAATTATATACCACTGAACTAAATCACATTGGTAGATGGAAACTGTTTTGTTGGGATTTACCTCGTAACTTCGACCAATGGTTAGGGAAGGTGAGTTACATCGATTAAAATTGATCACAATCGCACAGATCCATTCACTCTTTATCTGTCTTTAGATTTTGAGTACTTTATTTACTTATTAAATACATAAATATTGGTAAAGAGGGACACCAAAATATATATAAAGGAAATAGACAAGTGATGCAACATAAAGAAAAATGGATGTAACAGAATAGTTGTAAGTATAATTTGTGAAAATGAGTATTAAAGCAAGAATAACTTCTCAAGTTGTAGTGATTATCCGATTTGCGTGGGCTGGGGTACTGTATGGAAGCCCAAACCGAAGCAGGTGGTTTTCTTATGAGGCCTCACGTCCCAAACCTTTGACCTAGAGGTATAATCCATAAGGCAGTCCAACAACGTAAAGAGATGCAGTCCCATAGTAGTCGGTGACCAACAATAGGTTCATACACCACTTATTCCTTCAAGATCCTGAAGCGCATGTGCACCATTGGTTTGGAATCAGGGTTTTCCAACTTCCCTGGTTGAATCTCTCATATCCAACAACCCTGTTAAAGCCTGTGCTGGACATTCGCTTTTCGTCCTCTCAACTTCCTAAACAATACCCTCACCACGGTGAGTAGGACTTCCCTGGCAGTGGTTGTATACGCGTGGCCATATAAGGGCATTTCGAGAAAGAGAGAACCTTTCCAACCCACTCTCGGCTATATCAAGGCATTTAGGGGCAGATCTTCAGTCCTAGTACTTTTTCATACATAACTTATTCTCGAACCGAATCCGCAATATTTAACCTTTCTTACTATTATTTGTGCTGCAGTTATCTCGATTAGTTTGATATTTACCTTGTTGTGTTATCGTTGTTTCTGTATGCCGACGTGGGTTAGCATATATTTATGCAAGGCTCTGATGTTGTCTCCAACAGAATGTCCATTAAGTTTTCTACTATGATTTTTTTTACAAAAAAAGGTAAATACTAGTAACATTAACATATTTTCATATTATACAATTCATTATTTCAATTACCTGATCAGATAGAATAGCTAGAATAAATAATCCAAATAGACAAGAGATTGCTACAAGTACAATTGTATGAGCACTGAATACAAAGAACAAACAAACAAAATAGTAAGAAAATAAAATATACTGTAAATTTTCAAACGAAGTTATATATATATATATATATATATATATATATATATATATATATATATATATTGCATTAATATTAAATATCAAGTGTTCCATCTGTCCGAAGCATACTCTTGGTAGATAACAAAGATGGTGTCCTGAATGTCCAACTGTGTGCGTATGTGTGTGCGCTATCTGTAACTGGCGAATTTATTAAAGGTAGAAGTACTAACGATTGAATGCTGGCTCAATGGTTTAAAGGTTAAGCGTTCGCTATGAAACCTGAATGGTTTTAGTTTTAATCCAAAATCAATGGTGAGGTCGTGAGTAGGCACTGTTGAGGAATACCAATAATAGGACGAAAAAAACTATTGTTTCCTGACATCCAATGGTTGATCTAACTAAGGTAAATCCAACTAAAGAATTCAACACTCTCCGTTGCCCATAGTAATATGATACTTTTAATCAGATAATTGTCGTCATGCATAAATGCGGAGAATCAATAAGCTAGAAAGGTGTGATTCAAAGCTTAGATTAACTGTAAGTAATTTACACGATATATATCCTTCATACTAATTTCCGAAACTATTCCAACGAATTATCAAGTAAATTTTTTCTTAAAACTCGATAGCAGAAATGGGCAAACTATGTTTTTCATTAAACCTCCTACCTCCGAGATCATCTATAAATATGCGTAAAACAAAGACTAGAAATGAGAATAATTTTAAAATATTTTAGGAAAACAGTCTTAGGAAACAATTCATTAAATAAGTTGTTTAGTGGTTTAAGTTTATTCAAATTGACTGTTTAATAAGCATGAAAAATCGCATTTTTATTCCACTTTATCGGAATAAACCAAGACGTGGCACCAGTCGATAAAGTCGTTGATAGTTGGATTAAACCACGTAGGGTCCGTAGGATTATCGTAATCAATGGATAGAGAACTTGGGTGATATGATTCAGAATCATTCACAATGAAGTAGACATATTCACTGATCGTCTACCTCTAGAATCTTACCCTTTAAATCTCCTTATACCTTCTTTTTTCTCCTCTTTTTTTATGCCCGATCTTTTCTATTACTACTTCTACTACCGTGGAATTTAACTTGATAACATAATCTTGCTGTGCTTAAGTGATATAATAACTTGAACTGATGCATATGTGTCAAGTTCTACGTTGTGCATAATTGAATGATTTCTGCACTGACATAAACGTATGTGAAGGATATAGAAAAACTGACACTGTAGAATGAACCTTACCTTACATATATAACATTAAAATTATTGTATTCTAAAACTAATTAGGTTAATTAATCCGTAAACGATTCAAAATAAATTTGGGCTAGACATAAGTATATAGTCAGTCAAGAAGTATTAATCAAAACCACGTAATAAACTCAATCACATCAAAATATCATTATTCCCACAGATTAAAGTAAACAGACGCTAATCCAACGTTGGTAATGTAAATTATGACAGACAAAGTTGAGTCATAGTTACACAAAGGAAAAAAATGTGTACAAAAGTTGAACTCATTTCTTTGATCAAATTACATTTTTAACAATGATGAATACAGTGAGTACTTGAGAATTTTATTAGTAAATGATGCATATCAATAAATTAGTTAGGGAAACATTTTAGCGTTTTGTGAAGTCCGCCTAGCATTATCCGTATTCATTTAGCTTGTTAATAAAAATTTGCCACTGCAGTGATCTACAGTTTATAAATTCAATAACAGTGGCAATGAAAAAGAAACACATTGAAAGACAGTAACTAATAAGAAAGTTTAGTATTCATTGCTTACACAACTACAACATCGGCATTAGACGCGTCTTCTTTTAAACCGGCCGAGATCATAGCACGACATATAAGTACCAGTATCAGAGCATATACACAAAGAATGCCTGAAATCAGAATACACAAAAAATATAACATATTCTTAGTAAAAATGTAGTTAATTAATCAGTCAGAATGTAGAGACTAAAGTAGTCGGTTGTGAGCCATTTCGTTACTATGGTGTTAAAGATAAAAATTCGGTTGACCGGGTAGGTGTGGTGTGACTTGGACATACAGCCTAATTGACTGATTTAATCACAAAGCTATCATTTCATACTTCGTTCCTTAGTAATTCTTTAATAAAATTATACATAAAATATTCGTTTCTTCAAAACTGAAAATACACAATCGTTGTGAAGAAATAGGAGGAGGGGTGAAATGCATTCATATATATATATATATATATATATATATATATATATATATATATATATATATATATATATATATATATCTATAATGGACAAGAACAGTGTATGATAGGATATGCGATTCAGTGCCCCCTGAATGCCCTGGTACGCCCGAGAGTGGGGAGAGTCCGCTCTCCCTCTCGAAATACTCTCACACGGCCACGCGTATACAGCCTCTGCCAGGGAAGTCCTACTCATTGCCTTCTCGCACCACAGGGGTGTTGTTTACGAAAATGAGAGGACGAAAAGCGAATGTCCGGCGCTTTAACCGGATTCCAAATCAATGGTGCACATGGGCTCCAGTATCCTGCGGGAACGAATGGCGTATGAACCAATCGTTGGTCACCGGCTACCACGGGACTGCATCTCCTCACGATGCTCCACTGCCTTGTGGGTTAGACCTTTAGGTCAAAGGCTTGGGGTGTGTGGCCCTCTAAGAAAACCACCTGCTTCGGTTTGGGCACCCGGGCAGTATCACAGCCCACACACAAATGATGAACTCTTTATGTCTATGGAAATTACTTTTGTCGCTTTGAAAAACAATCAATTGATTCAAATTATGATCACTACAATTATTGTCATTATTAATACTAATATTATTATTACTACTATTATTGTCATTATTGTTATTATCATCATTACTATTATTATTTTCCACATTATTCACCTTCTTTTATACTTATACAGCGGCTCGTCTTTGGTGGAATTCCGACTGTATCTAAACGTTCTCGAGTCACTGTCCGGTTGAAAATTGTATGTTACCACCGAATACGAGGACTGAAGCAGATTTTCTGAAACCACGTGCATCATTCAAACTGGCTGCCTTCAACGTTTGCACATTTATGCAGGTCGGACAACAGATAGGGCTGGCTATGTCTTTGGAAAGTCTTAATATCGACGTGTGTTGTCTATCCGAGACCCGTATTCAAGACTCTGGCGAAGTACTACAAATTCGATCTCCATCTGTCGCTTCGAAAAGCTTGTTTTACATGCGTTTATCCGGGTACTTTGTGACATCTTCGTCTGGTCTTGCTGGCGTTGGTGCCTCACTAAGCGCTAGAGCTGAGGCAGCACTAATCGATTGGGTCCCTATTAACAGTCGGTTATGTGCTGTTAGATTAGAAAGTTCCATCAAAGTGAGAAGAAATCGGCGTGAGAAAAGATGTCTTTTCGTCATCTCCGCCTATGTCCCGACAGATTGCAGCCCGGATGCAATCAAGGATGAGTTTTACCACCAGTTATCTGTTCTTCTCCAGAAAGTGCGTTCGCCAGATATTGTAGTACTAGCCGGAGACTTGAATGCTCAGGTCGTGCGTCTAGGCACAGAAGAGAGTCGTTTAGGTGGCCGATGGGGACTCGTTGGTCGCAGGTCAGATAACGGGGACCGTCTACTGCAACTGTGCACAGACCACAACCTGTTTCTGGCTAGCACTAACTTTCGGCACAGTCATCGCCGATGTGCCACCTGGCGTCCTCCCTCTGCATCTCAAGCCTGAACTCAGATTGATCACATCGCGATCAGCTATCGCTGGCGTGGTTGTGTACAAGACTGCCGCTCCTTTTGGAGTACCTATCTGGACTCTGACCATGCCTTGGTCTGCGCCAATCTTGCCTTACTTTTCAGTGGACAACGAAGTGAACGCCATCAACGGATTGATGTTAGCAAGCTGGTTGCAACTTCTGTTGCAAGTAAGTATCGAACCGAACTAGCCTCTAGGCTAGCTACCACTCCACCGAAAAGTATAGATGAGCATTGGTTGCAATTGCATGACGCCATGAAAATGGCGGGAACTGTCAGTTGTGGGTTCGCGAAACGTCCCGCTTATAAGCACTGGGTTTCTGCAGGTTCCTTACAACTCATTGAAGCCCGTCAGTCTACTCCGGATGACCGTGAGTTTGACCACAAACGAAGGCTGTTACATAATGAAATTGAACAAAGCTTGCATAAGTACCGAGAAGCCTGGTGGTCGGAGCGTGCTAATGAGCTGGAAGCAGCAGCTGCATCTGGTAACTACCGGAAGCTCTCCCAACTCATCTGAGCCATTGGCAGCAAGAAGTCTGGTGTGAGTGAAACAATCTGCGAGGATGATGGGATGCCAATCACTAACATCCATCGACGTCTTGGACGATGGGCAGAATTTTTCGAAGCGCAGTTCAACTGGCCTGCTGCTCCGGCAACATCGGTCAGACTGTCCTGCCATCCATGGCCGGTGAAGACTGATCCACCAAATGAGGAGGAAGTCCGCAAGGAACTCCAACTCTTGAGGCGTTACAAATCACCTGGCCCAGATGACTTACCTCCGGCTCTTTTTAAAGATGGTGGTGACTTTCTGGATAAGGAACTGACTGTGTTGTTTACAAAGGTTTGGGAACTAGAGAGTGTACCAACGTCATGGAATGAGTCGATAGTTGTCCCTATCTTTAAAAAGGGTTCACGTCGTTCTTGTAACAACTACCGGGGGATAAGTTTACTTCCGATTGCGTCCAAGCTATTGGCTTCCGTCATTCTTCGTAGGTTGTTCAAAACCCGAGAAAGATTGACTCGCGAGGAGTAGGCTGGGTTTCGTTCTGATCGAGGATGTATTGATCATATCTTCACCCTCCGCCAAATGTTGGAACACCGCCATACTTTTTAAAGGCCAATAATCGTAGTGTTTCTTGACATCAGGGCTGCCTTCGATTCGTTGGATAGGACTGTTCTCTGGGATTGTCTATTGAAGAAGGGTGTGCCTGAGAAGTTTATTAACATCCTAAAAGCCCTGTATAAAAACACCTCAGGCAGAGTGAGGGCATACAACCACCTTTCTCCATTGTTCTATTCGAGCAGTGGTGTTAGGCAGGGTTGCCCAATCTCACCATTCCTCTTCAACTTTGCCATCGATGACATTCTGGAAACAGCTCTGATGAATGTAAGTAATGGTGGTGTGGATCTGTTGCCTGGAGAAAGACTTCTCGACCTTGAGTATGCGGACGATATTGTCTTACTGTGCGATAATGCCCAAGGCATGCAATCCGCACTTAATCAGTTGGCAATCAGTGTCCGTAGGTATGGTATGTGCTTTGCACCTTCGAAGTGCAAAGTAGTTCTACAAGACTGGCAGGATTCTAATCCTGTACTCACCCTGGATGGTGAGCAGATAGACGTAGTCGAGAAGTTCGTGTATCTGGGTAGCTGCATAAGTGCTGGTGGGGGTGTGAGTGATGAGATCAATGCACGTATAGTGAAAGCCAGAGCGGCTTATGCTAATCTGGGCCATCTATGGCGCCTTCGTGATGTTAGTCTGGCCGTAAAAGGTCGGATCTACAACGCGTCGGTGAGAGCAGTTTTGCTCTATGCTTGTGAAACCTGGCCTCTCCGAGTTGAGGACGTTAGACGACTCTCTGTGTTCGATCATCGCTGTCTCCGAAGGATTGCTGACATTCAGTGGCAACACCATGTCAGTAATGCAGAGGTTCGGCATCGTGTGTTCGGGCACAGAGATGATAACTCAATTGGTGTCACCATCTTGAAACACCGACTTCGGTGGCTTGGACATGTTCTCCGAATGTCGTCCCAGAGAATTCCACGTCGTGCATTATTTGCCGACTCTGGGACTGGTTGGAAGAAGCGGAGAGGTGGTCAGTGTATGACATGGTGTCGTGGCATGAAAGAAAGCTGCAAAGGACTGGCTTGTGTTGGTCCTTCACGACTCCCTGGCTGGGGTCCGAGAGATGGTGCAACACAGTGGCTAGAGACGTTATCAGATATGGCTCAGAATAGAAGCCAGTGGCGATCCTGCTGTAACCTTCTTTTACTTTCTTCATAAAAAGTGGTTGTGTCTCCTTTACCTGAAAGATTTCTTCTGATTGTACCTCTTCGTCATTACTCTCTTTTTCTTTTGCGTTCCTTAGTTTTTTTTCTTTCTACTTCTCTTCGAATTCCCATTGTTTTGTGTGGCGCATATATATTGGCGCTCTCTTGTACCAATATTTATGTGTTCAAATAAATAAATAAATAAATATGCGATTCAGTTAAAAATGCAACCGGAGATTTCTCGTAGTTAAGCATGTCTCTTTCAATTCGACAAAATTAAATGAAATTAATGTAGGATCATCATTGGTTTCTGTTCTGCTTCAAATCTAACGATACCTCAAGTCATTACCGTGTACCACCTCTAGGACTCAAATTTAGTTTCTTCTAAAATTCTTCCTATATTATCCAATCATTACACATCGAGCTGGGTAATGGTTTGGTGTATATAACACTTGTCTCAACAATATCAGTCTATGAATATTCACTATCTCATCAATCGACTTCCCTTCTTCATTAGATACCTACCTGTCCTCTATTCTCAACACTGATCATTACTCGATCGTTGCACGAGGCACGAACAATACTTCGAAAATACCTATGATTGAAAAAGTGCAGTTTACACTTGTCTACTACTTCTACAAGGCATGATTTACAATCATAAAGTAATGTTAATGCAGGTAGACTGTTGAGTAGCATATTTGTTATTTGATTGGGAGTGATTGAGGTTTCGCATAAGCCACAAATGACGTAAGTTGATGAAAGTCACTTGAACACCTGAGTCTGTGCGGACAAATCGTCAGGCACCACGGAACCAGGACTGATGAGTCTTCCAGAATAAGTGAGCTACTCAACACATGTAGCTACTTAAATCATCTATTACTTACAAGTGATATTTCATGTAACTAATCATAGTCTTTAATAAAAATGCAGGCTCATCACAATTAAATTTGTTACGTTACACAAACGAAATACGGACAGTAAACAGTATACAATATGTGTTTAGTTTACATTCAAAAATTAATTAATACAACTTAAACAAGCAGGTTTAACAGTCATTGGTAAGAAATGTATTCCATGTGTGTGAGATCATGAAAAATATTAATTTTTGATTTAAAATTATTTTAGTTTATTTGAACACATAAATATTGGTACAAGAGGGTACCAAATACTCATGTGCCACACATTTTCATGATCAGTATATTTGTGTGTGGGCTATGATACTGCCCGGGTGCCCAGAACGAAACAGGTGGTTTTCTTAGAGGGCCACACACCCCAAGCCTTTGACCTAAAGGTCTAACCCACAAGGCAGTGGAGCATCGTGAGGAGATGCAGTCCCGTGGTAGCCGGTGACCAACGATTGGTTCATACGCCATTTGTTCCTGCAGGATACTGGAGCCCATGTGCACCATTGGTTTGGGATCCGGTTAAAGCGCCGGACGTTCACTTTTCGTCCTCTCAATTTCGTAAACAACACCCCTGTGGTGCGAGAAGGCAGTGAGTAGGACTTCCCTGGGAAAGGCTGTATACGCGTGGTCATGTAAGAGCATTTCGAGAGGGGGGCGGTCCCATCCCACTCTCGGCTATACCAGGGCATTTGGGGGCTTAAAAATTAAGTCTAATTCAATTATTTTTTCTAGACTGACAAGAAATAAATTGATGATACTAAATTTCCAAAATGGGGATTCATGACAATTGTAGTCATTTTAATAGTTGAATTCATGAATCAATCTAAACAAGATTTTCAATGTACACTCTTGAAGTGATCCATACTAGGATGTAACAGTTGTCCAATGCTTCCAGATTTTCAATGGTAATCTTTCTTAGATTGACTCATGCATTCAACTATTTAATAATAAATTTTCTATATTTACATTTGAATGCATGAATAAACAGTTCATGATAAAAAACAACAACAATATACCAATATGCAATCCATGTAAATACAAATTAGACCACAATTTTAAAGATTTAACATTCATATTAGAAACTTACCGACATAAATTAAAAATTGAATAAAATATTTTTGATTACATTCACCAACACAATTATTAATCCTGTAATATTGAATAAAAAGAAGAAAGTAAATAGGTTACACATAACAACAAATCAATCATCTTGATCAGTAATTTAACTTGTTAATAGTTACAATACACTTGAACGTGAATGATATAAGCCAATAATGAAGAAGAAGAAGAAAGAAAAAAAAAAAGAAAGACGATTTCATGGAACAATTTGAAAGCATCCTAATCCAATAAATGATTCAATAGGTCTTAGTTAAATGGAAATTATTTGATGAATGAATGACTCAAATAACTGGTTTACAGTCTTAAACAGAACACTCAAAATAACCAAGAGATTATTCATTTAGTGAAGGATTGAATCTTAATTTATAAACAAAACCATTTAGTAATCGGTCACAATCTCAGAGGTCAATTCGAACAATTACCAGAAAGTCTTCTCGTATACACTAGGAAATATCTCACATTTTGACAAAAGAAAAACGCTCTCCGCCTAACATCTCAAAAGAATATTGCTAGCTATAGAATAGATCGAGTAGTGTTCCAGTTGGCTTGTCTTTTCTCACTCGCGTCCTTGTCAACCAATCAGTGATAGAATAGTTTTCTTCTTTTACCCCACTCCAAACCCACGCATACTAGCCTCAAGGTTAAGCCAGTCAGCCTACCTCGTCAAGGTCTTAATCTAGATTAGACATGTTATCCTCTGCACGAAGTGGGTAGACAGATCAAGGACGTAACATGAAGCATGTTTGTATTTACTTCAATGTCTGACTTCCGTGGTTCAGCTGGTATATTGTCAGGTCCTGCTGCTTTCCCGCTCTTGATTTGTCTGATGCATTCCAAGTGAGGACCGGAGTCACACAAGGTTGCTTACTCTCCCTCTCCCTCTTTCTTCTAGTAGTCAATTGGATTATGAAGACCTCAACATCAGAGGGAAAGTACGAAATACAACGGATAGCTTGCAATCAATTAGAAGATTTGGACTTCACAGATGACCTGGTCCTTCTATCCCATACACACGAACAAGTGCTGGTGAACACAACTAGTGTAGCAGCAGCCTCTGCATCAGTAGGCATCAACATACACAAAAGAAAAAGCAAGATCCTTAAATACAACACAGAGAATACCAACCCAGTCACACTTGATGGAGAAGCTCTGAAAGATGTGGAATATTTCACGTACTTGGGAAGCATCATCGATAAACAAGGAGGACCCCATGCAGACGTAAAGGTGAGGATTGGCAAAGCAAAGACCGCATTCCAACAGTTGAAGAACATATATGTCAACCAACATTAAAGTCAAAATCTTCAATACGAGCGTCAAGACAGTTCTACTGTACGGAGATGAGACGTGGAGAACTACTACAACCATCATCTAAAAGGTACAAGTATTTATAAACAGTTGTCTACGTAAGATACTCAATATCCGTTGGCCGGATACCATCAACAACCACCTATTGTGGCAGAGGACAAACCAGCTTCCAGCTGAAGGGGAAATTAGGAAAAGACGTTGGAAGTGGATAAGATATACATTACAGAAACTACTAAACTGCACCACAAGGTACGCCCTAGCTTGTCATCCTGAGGGGAAACATAAAATAGGAAGGTCAAAGAACACACTACATCAGGAATTGGAAGCAGACATGACAAGGATGAATAGCAACTGGAAAGAATTCTCCAGGACAGGGTTGGATGGATAGTGCATGTGAGCGGCCTATGCACCTCCACGAGGGATAATAGGCGGAAGTAAGTAAGTAGGTTCGAAATATATATACGGTAGAGCCTAGTTGCTGACTTTGGGACTTATGGGAAGGATAGAAAGAGAACCTGGCGAATAAAGCTCCAGTGCGAATTCAGCATTCAAGGTTACTGGTGATGGCTGGAAGTGTAATTGGCCCAATCAGAGATATTACGTCAAGCTGCACCCAGGCTTCGCTCCCAGCTGGACAAAGTATGCTCCAAAAGTTTGAAGACTGACTGTTAATTCAAAATTAAGAGAAAAATGAAAGAAACCTATAAGTTTTGATTGATGAGACACACAGTGGCGCATACTGCAGACATCCGGTTTTGTGATTCGGTTAACGTGGGTTTCGTAAAGAATATCTATAACAACGAAGAGTGCAACTCCAGACAACAGTAAAGGGAGAGTGCGCTTTATTTGATCTTCCGTCAAACAAACCAACTATGAGCTTCTCTCATGAGCAACACATCAGAAACCATGGTTATGAGCCATTGATCATCTGGTTACTGTAAACAATCCATCTACCAGACGAACATGAGCAGAAGACCAATATCCACAACCAATAGCTTTCCTAACTTATACAGGATGTTTGGAAAGACATGTATTCGTGTAGATGGAGATTTTGTCAGCCGCTGCCGATTTCCTTTCATTCTGCACACATATTTAATATAAAAGTTATTCTCTACCCGATGGGTATCTCAGTTGACAAAACAACAAAGTTTGATTCCCATAAATTGTAAATTGTTTGGCGAACTCTTCTTCCGTTAAAAACCCAACGCCAACGAACATCTCTCGAAACATATTCTCCACCTCGGTGCTTGATATAGACATGTAAAATGACTTTACTGCGGCAACAAGATTTGTAAAGTGACACTATTGAAGTTGACAGTTTCTATTCATCAGAAAGTAGGTTCTCTATATAACGTTTTTCATTAATCTAAGGGTAATGGAGACAATTTCACACCCCAAAAAATTATTACTTCAGATCGTTCTTTTAGTGTATTAAATGTTCTTTGGCACGAGTGGTGATTTAACGAGAAAACTCTCTAATATGTGATGCATCACAGTCTGGACACGCTAGTCTATGGACATAATTCTGTGCCAAAATTATAGGAATTTTAGCTTTTATTTGAACTAAATCATTTCGAAGTGTTTATTGTTCGTTTATAGAATTTTTTAATTTTGTGTGATCCAATGAGTCGTTGCAGGTGTTAAGTTAAACCTTAGTAATGACACCACTAATACCGTTACTAATTATATCATACTGACATGTCACTGTGCCGATGTTGTGTGATAAATCAAACTGGTGCACATGTTCCAAAATTTACGTTGTGTATGTCTGACTAACTGAACTCTGATGGGTGTTGTTGGTGATGTCATGTTTGCCGAGCTGCATGATCTGACACTACAATCTCTGCTGAGATATTTTAGAAGGACAAGGAAAGCTTTAGTGTTGAACCATCCAATTCATCAAACTCCGCATAAAAGAATGAAAAATATTTATGATACAACTGGGGAAAATATTTTTCCAAAAAGCACGGTGTATAAAATGAACAAACGTTTGTCTAAATACATACATATATCACTGACCAGGGACAATGGTGATCCATTCGTCTGACACACCGTCGACAAATCCGGCAATGATGAGCTCTCGGTGGCCTATGTATTCCACATTTATTACAAGTAGTCCATCCATCAGGTTTCTGTATATAACGTTTAAAAAAGTGGGGATATCAATTTCAAAAACAAAGATGTAAATTATACCAGTAAGCCGTAATTCAGTCAGAACCTGGACATGCATGTTTCACTCCAAGTTGCCACACTCCATTAACATAGATGAAATTATCACAGTATATCCTAGAGTAGCAAAAGTAATGCATTATTAGTACTAGTAATGTCCTTAACCAACCAATCAAATCGCTGATCAAACACCCACCACGTCAACCTGGTTTGACGTGTCTGTAGACTATTCCTGTTGCATGTGGCCTGTCAATTGAAGGACATTGTTGTCATATCGTATTAGTGTGACTGTAATTCATATTTTTTATTCATTTCGATAAAACACGCGACAGTGGTCGGCATGTTTGTGCGTTTCACTTAGTGAGTATAATTCCTTTAATTATTGTACTAATTGAATTGTTTTTACATTCAGAAATAGATAAAGTTTAAAGCCAAATTATCCTTGTTCTTACTATACATTTCACATAGACTCTAGGTCGTCAGTGTCGCGTTTACAGTTCCGGTAGAATGTTTGCAAGACAGATTAAATCCTACATTAGTGGTAATAGGACAGATTAAACATACAAGATATAAGTTATGTATGAATCGATAGCTGAGTTCATCAAAATCAACTAAAAAAATAAAGCATTATCGTTCCCTGACAGTTTTATCACGTAATAGATGTGCTGGATACAAGTAGACCAAATTCTAACTTAAAGCACTGATAATGTTACAGAACTGTTGCATAAGAAACCTACTTAAATTGCTTGCGGACATCTATTTAGTTTGATCATTTTTGTTATGAACTAATAGAAGTCGTTTTTTATTTAATAACATATTGCAGCGAAAACATACCTTCAAAATATCCAAATCTCCACAAATTACATATATTAATGGTAATAGTATGACTACTACTGGTGAGTGCTTTGAGATGAATCTTTAAATTTTAATCAAGAGCTGTGACCAAAACAAGAATGATGTGTTTACCTACCTATGCTGTTGGATAGAAATTGAGCGATATAGTAAAACGGTTAAAGCTGAAAACCGAGATCAGTGGATCTCAACCAGTTGATTGAATGGTATTGTGTGCTTTAACACCTAGAGGTTTTCGACTTAATCTTGGACGAAGTAGTGAGTGAGTAGCGCCGAGGTGTCCTAAACTAGGAAGAGCTACACAATGATTTGTGGTTTTCAGAATTTTATCAACTGTTATCATTCTGCAAAGAAAACCATCTTTGAATAGACCTAAAGGTTCACTTTCCTCTACTAGTCAACCGATCACATTTTCTAACTATAAAGTTATTTAGATAACTTACTGAAGTATTAGTTAGGGTGTTTCTTAATTGTGGTGAAATTTACTTAAAACTGTCATTTGAATTTGGTGAATGGGTGATACTGGCTCGTTTACAATAAGTGGACAAAGCTAGATGAGTTTTTATTACATCTTGTACTCTGAAAAGCATCAAGTTTGATAACCTTACACAACAAACTATTCGGAAAACTGTATGTAAAAGAGGAGATATTACCTGGACACTAGCTAACTGACTAACAGTATACCGATGCAAAGGTATCAGTCCTGGATCCGTTACGGCAGCACATATATGAGAAAATAATAGTAAAGAGGCCACTATATTAAAGCATATCGTATTCAGAATAGCCCAAAAGCTGAAAAGAAATGGCAAATGGTAGAAAAGGGGGTTGAGAACATGCTCTTTGAAAAATGAAAGCAATCATTACGATGAATCACATTCTGAGTAATTTACCCATACACAAATCATATCAAACAAATGATTTAACTGCGCAAAATCAGAAATTTTTCAGCTATTATATCGCAGTTGAATAAGAAAACATCTTCGGGACATACTTTAAATCAGACTGGCCAAGTCAGTGGAATAGTCTTGTAGTGAATGAGTACAGCTAATAATAGTATTAACAATTACTAAAATATACATATATGGTAGTTGACATATTCCAAATCAAATAGCTACTTAATATAGGTGGATTGAGGTTTATTGTTATTGAAATATGAGGTAGAAGCGGACAACTATAGTGGACTTATATTTGAAATATTCGCAAATAGACTTTTCCATGACTATAGTTTCAAAATTTTAATAGTCATATTATATATATAAACCAGTTGATTTTACAGTTTCCTTCTTGATACCAGGGAAAAGTAACTCTAAATCTTTGGGTGAGTGTGCTGTAGCTTCTCGAGCTACTCGGCTGCAAGTTCCAGAAACAAGCCATTTAGAGTTCGATGTTTTGTCACTCGTTTTTCCAATAAATGATAGTTGCTGCGATTAGTGGCTGTCACACCACTCAGCAGTGGTTTGATTGGTCGTATTAAACCAGGACAATAAGGTGTGAAGTACGATAGAAAACAAAATTTAAACAATCCAAAATAATGGGGAGATAAATTTAAACCATAATAAAGATAATATGCAGGTGAGAGAATGAAAAAGTGAAAGACATTAAACTGAAATGCAAGAGGAAATTAAACCAAAGAGTTGGATTTAAAAGTGTTTAATAGTGTTACTTATTTTTTAGTCAATGAAGAGCAGTCCATGAATTTTCACGCGACCGATCGGTATTCGTCTGAAATTGTCAATTGGAGAGACCAGTTAGATCGGTAGGACGGAGTTTTACAAAGAACACATGCGTAGTGGGTAAAAGTAGCAAATCGCCTGTGTTTTACCTCTGATAGGTGTTTTTGCACTAACTTCGTGGATCACAATGTCCCTTTATTGTAATATTAGCTTACTGGAGTAGTTGGACTACATAATATAAGACAGTGATAAGGCTACTCCTTTTCCATAGCTAAGAGAAAACCATCCTGACTCTTAGAGCCAATCCCCGTATGTCATTGGTTCAAGGCTTAGAATGTCAAGACTATAAATTATGAACGAACCAATCAGATTTACGATAACCGGTCTTGAATTTTGGCGTGAAATCAATTCATTCATTTGACTAAATAGTTTCAACATTATAGCTGATGTCAGATCGTGATGAAAACACTATATCCAATTCCTAACCCTAACTATCAACTGCAAATATTAATTCTAATTCCTCACATTGGTTTATAACCCTCATCTAACCGTAGTGTGTAGGTGGATATTCTCAGGGTCTTTTTAGCGTCCCTCAAAGGTCGTCCATAAATTATGGTCTCAACCTTAGAATCTCTATCACTAAATGCCTTCGAACTTTGACAGAAAGACTTGTTTTATCGTAGGAAGTGCAGCATTACTGTGGTTTTAGAAGTGGGGTCGCATACATATAAATAACTGTTTACTGGTTGCTAATTATAATAAATTTAAATCCTTGGAAATATTGGGACAAGAACACTTTAGTAACGGCTTACTAATAAAAATGATTCAAAGTGAAACGAATACCATCACCTGTTTTTGAGAACCGGAAGAACTAAGTAAAATACCACGACATAATCCGAGTATAATACAAGCAAGTGAGTTATCAAAACACATGCTATACCACATGGGTCAAGCCTGAAAACCATAACCCCTCATAACTTTCGATCCGGGCGCTTTGACAAACTTTACTCATCGAGGTTCAATATCTCTATCTTCAGTCTTCAGTAATAAATATAGGTACAGGAGGTCTATCGAATTATATTAATCCCTGCAGTTTGCAAAACTGTGAAGGTCCAATACTGTTTTGAATATATCAACAGAAGGTGCTTGTATTACATGTTCTGGAAGAGAATTCCAGTAATTCACTACTCAGTGTGAGAAAAGAAACTCCAGACTTAGATTATTTGATCTCGGCTTTTGAACTGTCTTCGAATGTTCTCCCACATCACCAGTCCTAGACGGAAGGAAAAGATAAGACATATTATTACCTAGGTCATCGTTCAGTATACGATAAACCAATATTAGATCACACCGTAATCTGAGGTAAGATAATTGAAATAGGTTGGAACGTCGCAGACTGCTTTCATAAGATAGGCCAGAGAGACCTTTGACTATTTCAGTCCCTTATCGTTGAACTCGTTTTAGGATACCTGCCCCAAACTTGAAACAAGGACTTACTGCTTGAATCCCATATTCCAAATGGGGTCGCACGAAGTGCAGGTATAATAATGTACACATTACTCTGTCAAAATACTGAAACTACCTACGAATTTTCCATAACACCCTATAGCCTTTTGCAGGAGCAACCCTGCAATTACTAGTAGTTTTGAGATCACTATTTATAATGACTCCTAAATCGTTAGTTTCTTAATCTGGTTAACGCGAATCCACATATTGTGTGATATTACGACTCGTCACAGTTGTTTAATTGCATCACCGCATTGTTGTTAATATTTGCTTCTACTGACCATCCGTCTATCCATACCACTAATGAGTTGAGATCATCCTGTAATACTATTCTATCTGATATATTGTGTATAGGTCTCCAAATCTTTGTATCATTGGCTATACCAATATCCAGAATCTTTCTTATTAGCCTGCGCAAACCTTTTGAGTTCTTGAAGTTCATATCTCGGTTTTAAAGTGCTAATCAATGCCTTCGGAAGCATTAAGCGAGGAACAGATAAATACTCAGCTACCCTACTTCTATTGGATTCTAGTCTTTTGCGTTTTGGTATGTCATGAGCACAGACGAATACATTTATTCAATAGTAGTAGAGTTTCCAAAACCAAATGTTATCACATTATCTGAAGGCTGTCTGGTTTGTGTGGGATTAAAAATACCTCAAAATAAATAGTTTCTTAAAGGACTCGACATTATTCCCGAATGTTGATTTAATAGATGTTTAAGGGCTGCATTGGATATATAACAGATTGGATCACTAGGTGGATTTAGTTCTAATATGCCTAAACTAGCTAAAGGACCTTAATGAAGCAACCTCATCAAATCAAGTTTTAAAGGTACCGGGACATATATTTCCTACCCGTATTCATAAACTTCTTTTCACCCTAACACTGTGGTTTCATAAAAGGTCACTCTTGCATAACCAACCTGCTGTCCGTGGTGGGCAGACGGACAACCATCGTTGATCGCAAGGGGAAGGTTGACATCATATACCTTGAATTCTCAAAAGATTTTGATAAGGCCAACCATATATGTCTAATCAATAAACTCAACGATTAGGTGTCAAATCATCTTTACTTGATTGGCTCACATCATATCTAAAAAATCGACATTTTAAAATTACGGTTAACTTCAATTTCTCTCAGGCTATGAAATGTCCTAGTGGAGTCCCCCAGGGTTCAGTACCAGGACCTGTTCTCCTCTTGATTTGCGTAGACGATCTTCCGCAGCAAGTATCGTCAGATTTATTACTTTTTTCTGATGACTTAAAATTCTGGAGAGAGATAGGCAACCAAGAGGATAAACTGGCACTTCAGAAGGACTTAACTCGACTTCAAAGTTGGGCAGATGACAACAGACTTATGTTTAACATTTCAAGGTGTAGAGCTCTCCATTTGAGACATGCTGCAGACTACAGTTATAACTTAGGCAACTCCCCTCTAAAGGTATCCCAAAGTTGAAAATGATCTAGGAGTGTTGATACCCTATGATTCGAAGTCTAACGCTGTGACAAAAATACCTCCCGAGCAAACCTTGCACTGGCAACATTGAGGCGCGTTTCCGGACAGTTCGATGGAAGAACTTTCCACATAATCTTCAACAGTTTTATTTGTTCACATTTAGAGTACAGAAACATAGTATTTCCTCTCTCACTCCAAAAGGATAAAAACACTCTGGAATGTATCCAACGGCAAGTCACAAAATCAGTTCATGGACTCAAATTTAAGCGTCTTACAGGTGACCTTATGACTTACAGCATCCTTAACACCTCTGGGAATCCTTTTAAAAACCTACGTAAGCTTAGTCCCAACTCAAATCTAAAGAGAAACACTAAGAAACTGGAGACACAATACAGCAGAATGGACTTTAGACACACTGTCTACTCCTTAAGAGTTGTCAAATGCCGGAATTCACTGCCGGCTGAGCTATTGCAAGCGACTTCCCAAGAGTAGTTTAACAGAAAACTTGACATATTCTTAAGGACTAAGGACAGTATTCTACTATAGTTTATCAAATTTGTTTTCCTTTTTCTATTCTATCGTTAGTACACCTAGGTTCCAACATGAAGGTATTGGTGATTCACTGCTACTAGATACGAAAGCCCTTCAAGCGAAAGCTTCTTCTGTTCCGCCTAGACCAATATGAACTATTCCCACCCTGTTTAGAAGCCATATATTACGATACTTCTGTATACAAATCTAATATCACTCTTCGAGTATTCATCACCGAATTCATCCCTATTTCCCCTGGGATTAATTTCCAGAAGATATTTGCTTATTAACATAGCCTTACTCTACCATATAAAAACCATCTTCGTTAGTGAGCTCGATGTCGTAGTGTCTAATATTAATATATGCTCATATAATCAACCCTAACTTTAACAGACCTGGGTAGCTCAAACGAAATGTGACAATGAATCACTTTTGCCTTTATAATAACTCTGCTGTTTTCAAAAGAACCTGTAAACTTCAGCACGCACGCAGCTTATTTGTATAACTGTATTTCTACGCCTATGTGCTTTGTTCATACTTGTGTGTGCTGGTTTGTCACTCATTATTTCACACAATGCGTCTCTTCTCCACACTACCCGTTATATCTTTCGAGCCTATGTTCTGCCAACATTATCATTTAACTCAATCGTATTAAAAAAAACAGGTCCCTATTATATGGTTCAGTATATCAAAGAACATCCTATAAGCTTATTCCCTGATTCATCGTTTATGTATAAATAATACGGATTATGATACGCTTTTCTGTGTTTTTCGAATCTCTTATTTTTAAATATTCCTTATCCGACAATCATTAAGCACAATCCAAAGCCAATTTAGATTAGGAGGCCGGATCTCCTCACCTTTACAACTCAAGCCATTATGGTTGGATAGTATGGCAGCAAAGTACTACTGTGTATAGTCTGACTATTACAGTCGTGGTGTGATCAGTCTGCATGCCCATTTTCTTGCAGTCACAAACGCATTACCTGACCAAACAGACTTTAAATCCAGAATGTTTAAAAGAGAAGTGCATGAACCTTACGAAACGCCCAAGAAGTGTCTTTAAAAAGTGAGATTTAACCGATCTACAGGAGTTGGTAAGAATATTTCACGGTGTTAAGCTGGGACATGGTTCTTGAAAAGAAATGTCGAAGCTAAGGGGAGTCATAAATAAACGTGGATTTAGCGAAGAGGTTTTGTGATGATTGGGAGTATTTGAATTATAGTATGAACTAAGAATCCCAGAAATAACGTAATTGGATCAAGAAGTACTAGATAACCACAAACGAATGTACTGTATTTAGAATTCGAAATCGAGCTTTCAACAAGTACAAAGGAATCATTAGTTCATTCAACCACCACAGGTTTACAGATCATTTCTTCCGTTCAAGTCCCTGTAACAAGTGGAAACTGTATTCATCCTTTTCAAAACTAGTGTGCTTGGTGATTTGGCAACCCAGATCTTATAAACTACCAAACCTTCCATATTGTTGTCTTCTTCAAGATAATGTCCTCACTTAAATTAAAATCTTCAAAGTCAATGAAACGTTTACTTAACTATTTCAAGAGGCTCTTCACGCAAGGAATGTTTTGCTCAACAATCTGAAACTGAGAACACTGACTGGTATTGATACCACAACACTTGCAGCAAGTCGTTCTGCAACTGGAGAATGCCTTGGAGCTTTCCTAACCTCTAACAACTATTGCTACGACGTTAGAAACTACAATATCGGCACACGTTAGCACTGTTTAGGGCCGGTAGGTGTTGTTCTGTCATACAGTACAGATATGATAACGAATATCCAGTATCTCTTTGATAACTAGCGTTCTTCCCAAAAATTCTAGCTATTTTAAACAAAAACCTGTATTCGACTTGTAGACTGTTAATCACAATCACTTTAAATTTCTGGCAAAATCATAATTTGAATACCTCGTGAATCGACATTGTGATTACTACGAGTGTAAATAAAGATTTATACTCATTAGAAGCTCTCACCTCATAAAAGTCATGACCGAATGAACATCGCTCCAAAGAACGATGTTTACCGCAGAACACATGTTTAACAAACTTGTGCCTACGTTCTCTATATCTCCACAGAAATGAGAATGACTATTTACTGCATGAGAATTTCGATGATCATGCAGTGTTATCCTTCGTGGTCACTCAGTAGAGCGTGGTGGTAAATACATACATAAAAACATTTTTTTTCATAAGCTCCTGAAATTGATTCTGACCTCACTGATTTCATCGAATGCAGTCTGATATTAAGGTACGCGGTCAGGGTTCTAAACTATACCTGTTTGTGTACGCTGTTTTGCTCAACTTTTACGACAACCAGTCAAGAAAACGTTTCCAATGACAGGGCTGCAAAGCCCTGTATATCTGTTAAATCGATAGCATCTAAACGTCTCACCGTCCGCAAACAATTATCATTCAATGCTCCATTGTTAATACAGCCTGCTACTGAGATAAATAAGCTCTTAAACAAGTAATCAAATAGTTCAAAAGTTAAAATTGCGCTTGCCAACGGAGTTTATTTCTTGCACCCTGTCTCGGCGGCTCAGTTATGAAGTCTCTGACTTTCTGATCATCTCACCGCATCACATGGAAGTCAGGTTTTTATGTCCATTTGGAGTTGGTACATTATAAATTACAGAATAACAGTCGCATCAGAGCTTCACAGGGCTGTTTGAAGAAGCAAAAATTGCGATGAGATTGCATTTATTTTTTGACAGTTATTGTAAAGGATTTATAAAAATAATTGGTAATTGACAGAAACACCACAAGAAGACCAACTTTTGAGTTGCAGGTATATTAAGGTAATACCAAAGTTCCAAACTGCTGCTGTATGAGAATAGCCTCATTTCTTTACATGAAAGCTGTAAAATTTGAGTGCTAAGAAGCGGAGGGTGGACAAGAGTTCAAAACAAATAAATCAACAAGTTGAATGGATAAAAATTGTGGATACATAAATATATAATAGCAACTAGTAAATCGAGATGATAAATGAAGTACGCAAGTATCAGTTATTAATAATAGATAAACCAACCCACATCTTCCAGGTAGATTCAACCAATGTATTAACACTTATCTTTATTAGCGCCTCGAGTTGACGGCGGCTTTAGCTGGCTGTTGGTAAACCATAAGTACGGACATGATAGAGAGTAACTCCGCCTGTAGCTCTTCTAGAGTTACTGCCGGTCCCAAGCCCGGGTAAAGAAGGGCTGGGCATGGGGTTAGCGTCCCCATCCCGTAGAAAACTAACTCGCTAAAAAAACGCTTACCAGAAAAAATAATTCAAACCGTTTTAACTCTGCCCTGGGAGTTAGAAGGTTTTCATTTAGAAGAATTATGACGCTTCATGGTGAAAGCCGAGTTCCATCGGAAGCCACGAGGCCGATGCTCCTTCTAACAACCAGAGCAACGATTTTTATAGGTATGTAGTGGCATTGGACAATAACCACACAATCTTCAAAGCTGAATACGAGATTGCTCAGAAAATAGATATTCAATATTTAACGCGGAGAAATACCTAACGATGGAGAAAGCGGGAAGAATGTATTGAATGAATTGAAGTTGAATGAATGGCACGGCTCGGCCATGCAGGCGTGGTCCCTGCTGAATGTTACCTTATATCTTCTATTCATATTAAATATATTGTTCTTTCTTTAGCCTAACCTTGTCCTACATCATGTATTGGTAATTGATACGATACAGCGAGTTGATATGGTCGATGGTGTGACTTCCACGTAAGATCTTATAGATTAGGCAGTTATATCATGACAAATCTACAATTTTAGGATTAAGTCTATTATTAGAGCAGTACTAATATCATAGTAGACCATAATTCTATAGTTACATGGAACGTCCGGACAATGTGGGAGACCGGGAAGACCAGTCAAATAGCAACGGAAATGAGGAGATACAACTTGGCAGTACTGATAATCAGTGAAACCCATTAGACCCAAGCTGGACAATAAAGGCTAAATACGGGGGAGATGCTGCTATACTCCGATCACGAAGAGGAAAATGTTACACACACTCAGGGAGTCGCTGTAGTGCTGTCCAAAGTAGCACGAAATGCACTTGTAGGATGGGAATCTCACAGATTCAGAATCATCAAAGCATCATTCAAAACAAAGAAGGAGGGGATCACAATGAATATTATCCAATGTTATGCACCCACCAACTAGGAAAAGACGATGGAAATGGATAGGACATGCATTACGCAAATCATCAAACTGCATCACGTGGTAAGCCCCAACTTGGAATCCTGAGTGGAAGAGGAAAAGAGGAAGGCCAAAGAACACATTACGTCGAGAAATAGAATGAGATATGAAAAGGATCAATAGCAACTGGAAGGAGCTTGAAAGGATTGCCCAAGACAGGGTTGGATGTCGAATGCTGGTGAGCGGCCTATGCTCCTTCACGAAGAGTAATAGGCGTAAGTAAGTAAGTAAGTAAGTGATAGAGAGTATCGCGTAAAAATTGGTCTGCGATCGCATCAGCTGGACGGACGTTGGATATACGAGCAATTTCACTTGAGCGTGTTCAGTGTGTGTGAATAAAATAAGCGAAGGGCCTTTCTAAGCCCCCTTACGATGAGCGCTTAAAATATCTAAACATTTTCCCCTTGTCGTATCGTAGGACGCTGGGTGACCTTATACTGGCACCTCGTATTTTTAATTAGGATTTGGGTGTTATTATGTCCTATTTTTCGTCCACTCCAGCATTTATAATCTCCGAGGTCATAGCGAGAAGGTTCACAAACCACGATCTCATAAACTTAGAGTGAGGTTCCGTTTTTCACATCGAGTGGTCGATGACTGGAACGCCTTACCAGAACAAGTGGCAGCAGCCCATCAGTGAATATTTTCGAGGAGGAGATGGACCCTAACTGGAAGACAAAATCGTCAGGATTAACACAGGTCCACTAACCTACTATCTTTTTACAAATCACTGAAGTCTGGAGTTACAGGCGGAGGGTATTTGTCCTCAAGGTCATTTGGCCAGATTGTCCATGTGGTTGTCATGTAAATTCCTTGATTATTTAATGGTTTGATTTTCGTTTGGAGTTTGTGGAATTTTACACCTTATATGCAGATGCAACTAGATCTGCCTGTTGCTAACTTTATTTTTCCAAGGAAGGCGCGTTTCCCCATTATTTTCCAGATCTTTTTCCACTTTACTTCCCCTTCGTTCGCCTTCATTACCCCTTTTTTGGTTGATTGGGCTCCCCAAAGTTTCTAGTGGGTCTTCGAAACTTCTGTAGAGATTAAGATGGTAATCAGCTTTCTGTTTCTAATCCATAACGTGTACCCGCACTGGTCAAATATAACGACTTCAGTTTGCTGAAGTCGTTATTTCCTTATAAGGAAATCCACTTGCTCATTAAGTGTATCATGAATCAACAGTCCACAACACGTAAAATCCAATAATGTCTGACAGGTAAAACACTGTGAAAGACATGTTAGTTTTTTTGACATAAGTGATTTTATTGAAAGACATGCGTGGTTAGTGACTTTAGTATTCCAAGTACATGAGTAGGTCGTTGGTCACACCATAAAGCTACTGCCACTACCACTAATACCAGCATACGCTGCTCAAACTGGTGAACTTAAATGCATGTTCAAGAATTCGACCCTCTTAATGAGGGTCTAATACTTAATCCTCGTGAATATTACTTGTGTACTGTACATTTTAGGACCATTGCTACTGTTCTGGTCTACCGAAGTGGTCGACTGAACTAGATATTCGGATAACTAAGATTCTAACTATTTGGCTGAATACTCACCGTATGCTGTTTAAACCATTCGTAAAATTCAATAATTACCAAAAAAGCTCTTATTCATTTTTATTGACTTCAGCTTCTGAACCTAGCCTGTGGTGCCTCTTAAATCTTACTTTATCGAAACCCAGAATAAATTTTGAACCTTTCTAATTCACTACAAAATGGTCAGTTAATATTATCTCATGGAGCTAAGTGTTTTCAAAGGTTTTTAAATAAAATTTCATGCCTAGAAAGGCTGAATAATAATCATTTAAAAGTAAGCTACACGCAGATAACGTTGTTGCATTCGATTATTAGTATTCAACAGTCTAAACTATTCTATCAGGCTATTTTAATGAAGACTGAACAAACTTTGTGTGATTAGACTGGCGTCATAACTATTTATTTTAACACATAGATATTGGTACAAGGAGGCATCAAATACACATGCGCCACACAAATCTCATTCGACATGTGTGAGGGCTGTGATACTGCCCGGGTGCCCAAACCGAAGCAGGCATCATAACTAAGTCAGTAGAGAATTGAAAACTACATAATGACCATCTAGTTCTTTAGATTAAGCGTCGTTTCGTTTTTTTTTTGGGAGTATGTACAGAGTATTTAAGGAAGATGTCTTCCTGTTCTTATTTCAAAGCACTACTTTAAGCAATTAACTTGTTTTTCACTCAGAATGCAATAGGGATTGGTATCATATGTCGGCTGGTTATTCACAGATGTCTGAATTGTAGTGATCGTGCAAAAGTATGTTTCAATAAGTAGCATTATCTTCTACCGGTGGATACGGAGGATCCACCTAGGGGAGTTGGAAAATCCTCATTCCAAACCAATGGTGCATATCGGCTCCAATATCCTGAAGGAACAAGTGGCATATGAACCAATCGTTGGTCACTGGCTACCATGGGACGCTCTCTTGTACCAATATTTATGTGTTCAAATAAAATAAAATAAAATAAAATAATAACCATGGGACTGCATCTCTCAAAGTTGCTCCACTGCCTTGTGGATTAGACCCTTAGGTCGAAGACTCGGGGTGCGGCCCCCTAAGAAAACTACCTGTTTCGGTTTGGGCACCCAGGCAGTATCCCAGCCCTCACACAAATTGAATGGTTTATGTGATGCATATCTATTTGGTGCCTCCTTATACCAATGTTTGTGTGTTTAAACAAATAAATGATTTTTATTACGTCTTTTAGACATGCATTCTGTCTTAGAGATTCAATACAAATAGTCGTTTGTGACGATTGGATTCTAGTGAAATTTAAGATGCTTTTATATCTAATTTTTACTTTGCAACTTGTTTTGTATTTCACTTAATATTTTGTTTCCAAATCTTTTTTAAAATAAACTAGTTCGCTACTTTCAGGCGTTTATGTCGCACTAGCTGTCAGTTCAGTTCATTTCAATTCGTAGCATGAAAAACAATTTGAGTATTTTTTACACGGAAGCTGCTTATTTAGTTTGTCTAGTCAAAGGACAAGTTTGTCGATTGAAAACTGGTTTGTATACTAATAAATTTACAAGCGTAAGTCTTGAAACAGCCTACAGTTTCCTGTTTTCCCCTTCTTCCCCGACGAATTTCAGATAACCTTTTTACGCATGTTTTACTCATTCAATATTATCAGTTGAAGTACTCTAGTTACACAGTAAATTCTGTCGTTTTGGAAGTGTAATATTGGTAAGAAACGTTTAACTACGAATTAGAGTCACAAAAGTCAGTCGGTCAGTTACAACGTAGGAACAGGCACATATATGCATCTGTCAAAGTTGCTACACCTTAGCACAACAAGATGAACACCAAATTCATAAAAGTAGTTACTTTAATGGTAGTAATGTATAGAAGAATGATTGTTTATAAGCATATGATACAGGGAAGAAAAATTGATTTATATATATATATATATATATATATATAGTAATTTTAATCCCACGGTTTAAAAGAAGACAGAGTGTATACACCGACGCCATTGTGATTGCTTCTGAGCCATGTCACCCAGAGTCTCCAACCATTGGTTACGATAGTCACGCGGACCCCAACCAAGTAGTCTGCATCTACCAACATGGCTCAAACCAGAAGGTAGTGACTTTGTAGACTGATGTCACGTTTTGGTTTGACCACCCCTAACTTTTTTCCAACCATCCCCAACACTAATCATCATTTTTACAAGAATCTCATCCGTCTAACACTGAAGTAGGATTACTTTACAATTAAACAATGTGTTAAATACAAGGAAATGTGTACTAAACTTGCCACTAAATAACGGACTATTACGTTTGTCGGCCCACTGTGTACTTCGAATTCATTCTATCGTTTAATTGGGTATCAACAACTGTATGTAATGTGTTCTTGAAATTTTTCTTTTAAATGTAATGTATAAAGAGAAATGCCAGGCCCAACTTGTATTAGTAATCATAATCTCTTTATGTATACTGAGATTTAATTGTTTACCACTTCACTGGAGTGCTTTATCATCTTTTATACATAAGGTGACTGATATCTTCAGCTTTCCACTTTTCCATAGACAAGCAAAACTAATTACACCAACCTTTCACTGTCACTTTGCATTTATAACTATGACATTTATACCATAGGATTTTACAGTATTCAGGTCACTCTTCGGTATCACATTTATGCTTCATCAAAGAAACGTCAACTTTACCAAAGAAGGCTTCATCTTAGTATAGTCAATACATATTCAGTCGAAACGTTTTTTCAACTTCACATACCAGAGTTCACTGAGTGCCAAGTGACAAATTATCGAGTGCCTTGTGGTTGTACATATCTAACACCTTTTTACTATTAGCATATACTCTCACCACAAACGAGTTGTTTAACTTTTAATCTCGCACTAGCCTTTCACCAATAAGTCCAAATAGATATCACTGCTAACTACTATCTTGTAATTGAAGTGAATGTTGTCATATACTAATTGTTGTAGTATACTGAGATGAAAACTTTAAATTCCTTCGTAAAAGTTGATTGATCTAGTTTGCTGATCATATTGGTTATTGAAATAAGGCATTCTGATCTGCAAAGTCAAATGGAATCTTATAATTAGATAATATGACCAAAGTGAAAATTTTTCCAAAAAAAATGCTTTGATGTTTCTTGCAAAGTCCACCTGGGTTTAGTGCTTTACCTTGATGTAATTCAATAACAGGATTTTCAATTTTTGTAAATGTTATTTGGCTTATACTGATAACCTCTAAGTCTATGAACTAACAGTAGACATGTGAATCATCATTTCTAATTACTTTTTACTTCTCGAATTCACACATTTTGCAAATGATCCTGTATAATCAGTGATGATTGTAATTCCTATTAAATATGTAAATCATTTGCCAAGCGCTGGTACATGTACTTAATTTTAATCGATTTTGTTTGCATGTTAGGATTAGTGATAGTACTTGACTGCTAAACGAAAGTAGTTAGAGCGGAGTCATTATATATATGTATAAAGCTTACCTATTATCATGTAAAGTTTTCAGACTATAATGATGTCGGCAATCTTTTATGTTAGGCAGGTATCAACAGCTTCAGCGTGGTTACAGTCCTCGAAAATTTTATGTTTATTTATTTATTTAAACATAAACATTGGCACAAGGAGGCACCAAATAGATATGTACCACACAAATCATTCGATTTGTGTTAGGGCTGTGATACTGCCTGGGTGCCCAAGCCGAAACAGGTGGTTTTCTTAGGGGGCCGCACCCCGAGTCTTCGACCTAATGGTCTAATCCACAAGGTAGTGGAGCAACTTTGAGAGATGCAGTCCCATGGTAGCCAGTGAACAACGATTGGTTCATATGCCACTTGTTCCTTCAGGATATTGGAGCCGATGTGCACCATTGGTTTGGAATGAGGATTTTCCAACTCCCCTAAGTGAACTCTCCGTGTCCATCAACCCGGTTAGAGCGCCTGATTTTCGCTTTTCTTCCTCTCAACTTCGTAAACAGCACCCGTGGTGAGATAATGGAGTGAGTGGGACTTTCCTATCAGTGGCCATGTGATGAGAGCATTTGGTGAAGGAGAGCGGACTCTTCCTACTCTCGGCGATGCCAGGGTATTTGGGGACAAAAAAGTTGTCACATAGTTTCAGTGAATATTGTCTACCTTTTTTTTGTAAAGACATCATCATAAATTTATCTTCTATTTTTATTCATATTAATAAGCTACTTTTGTACTTTTCTAGAATTTACGAAAAATCTATGCATTAGCATCAAAAACTCTTAGTTCCTATGGTATATTACTTCAAACTCTTAAAAAAGCCAATCTTCAACCAACAACTAAAATTATCCATTTATCTTCAAAAAACAATCCTAACAATAATAATAATGATGATAATAATGTACATGCTTGTGTTCATTGTTATTTGATTGTTTTAATTCATGATTTATTAAAAGAAAAGAAAATATCTCATCATTATCTACTTTCACAAATTCATGAATTAACTAAAGATTCTTTAGCTGTAAAAAAACTTCGTCATGCTTATCAATCAGTTGATAAATCATTCAAATTACAAACTGAAAATCAAAGACAAAATAAAGGTTTGTCATCAATATTTACTCTTTTTTTAACATTGAACTTTATTTGTAGTCAACTATGTATTCAATGTTGTTTTTTAGATACTGTCAATCTGAATTGTTAACATTCAATTAATTAATGATGGGTTTTAATTTCGTTTGACTAATTACAGTTTAGATAGTTGTGCATTACCATTCAGTCAGTCAGTCAGTAACAACGTAGAACTTCGTACGTACGTACATCACTTCGAGTCGCCACACCACATTAGCACAGAGATGCAGTTGTCGATTCAAATCCCGTAGTGGTAGAGATAGTAAAAGTAAAAGCAGTAATTGGAAAGATTAGGGTTTGAAGACGTTATTCAAGGAGTATAATACAGCGAAATAAATTTGGAAAGAAAATAAGGGACATGAAGAATTCAGAAGATTAGAATTTGGGAGAACACAAAGAGTGGATGCACTTGCGCCATTGCAAACGATTTTGAGCCATGTCATTCAGGGTCTCTAACCATGGGTTGCTATCATCTCGCGGATCCCAACCAGGTAGTCTACACCGACTGCCTCGACGTGCTATGTTCAGTGGTATAGGAGTAGGTTGGAAGAAAGCTAGGGGCGGCCAAACCAAAACATGGCACAAGTCCATGAAGTCACTGACAAGTGAACTGAGCCATGTTGGTAGGTGTAGACTACCTGGTTTGATTCCCCGAGATGATAGCAACCGACTGTTAGAGACCCTGAATGACATGGCTCAAAATCGTTTGCAATGGCGCAGGTGCATCCACTCTCTGTGTTCTCCCAAATTCTAATCTTCTGAATTCTTCATGTCCCTTTTTTCCTCTTTCCAAATTTATTTCACTGGATTATACTCTTTAAATAACATCTTCAAGCCCTAATGTTTCCGATTACTGCTTATACTTTTACTACCTCTACCACTACGGGATCTGAATCGAGCACTGCATCTCTGTGCTAATGTGGTATAGCAACTTGAACTGATATACGTACGTACGAGATTCTACGTTGTTACTGACTGACTGACTTTATGTCATCGAAGACGTTGTTGATCAGATCGTAGATGTTTTCCAACTTGTCCTTTTTGATGATGACGAATGTGTCATCCACAAAACGGGTCCACATTTTCGGCTTGATCAATCGTAAAATCGAGGCTTCCAGTCTGTGCTTCACTGCTTCTACTTCGTTGAAAGTTTGACTTTCAAACCATCCAGTTCAAGGAACAAAGCTCCAGCAAAACCATTCGTCTGAGTTACAAATCTTTACCATTTTAGGAGATAACTTTGTTGATTTATAACTGTCTGGAAATCGAATACAACATTTTACACTCTATTGACAATAATAGTTTGCATTGATTTGGGATTCGTATGGGTGAAACATCAATGCAATCAATAGAAATATAGGTACTCGAGTTCTGACTTCGGTGTACGTCATAGAGTGTGAATATACATAAAGTACTTCTAGTTTAGGTATAATAAGTGTAGTTCATAGTTAAGTCAGACTAGCATAATACTCTTCTATCTTAGTATAGACCACCACATGTAAAATTAACCATCAGTTCTATTCTAAAGCTTAGTTAAATGACATTGTCGAATATAAATTTTTCTTTACTGAAATGTCTTCATTTTGTTTGGTCAAATTACTGTCATATTTTAAACCACATAAATTAGTTATTTGTCACATCCTGACCTTTACCGGTATGAGCCACACTTTAGGTATGAGGGCTAACAGTACTGCTACTCAGTTGCCCAGAACACAGTAGGTGGAGCGTAGTTCGAACCTCAAACTTACTAGCTTAAAGTTGAACATCTTAACTGTTAAACCACTGCTTTACCGACTTTTATCAGTCAGTGCTGACTAGTTTGAAGATAGAAGTCTTGAAAATGTTCAAATTTTATTTAGTTATTATTTTAATAGGTGGTTATATATTCCAACTTTTGATTTGTTTACGTTCACAATATAATTGTGCTTTCAGGATTACTTCCATGTTATGCTCGTGTCAATTTCTTGAAAACTACACTAGCTGATGTTATTGAAAAGCTTGAAACTTGTGGACTTAAACATGTGGAATATAATCGATCAGAAACTTCTTATCGAAAGTAAACCTCTTTCTCTCACTTTATTTTTCTCTTAAACAGTCAGTAAGGAATGTAAATGATTAATTTCTTTTTCATTATTTTCATAGTTATTATTTCAGGTATTTATTTTCTATTCTGTGAGATGACTATCGTTACTCAATTGTGGTTTAATCTCTTTAGATATTCAACGTTCTATATCTGTCTTGTATGTGGTTATAGGATAAGAGCAGGTTGTTCATTTCATTCTGTACTTAAACTACAGTCATCTTATAAATGATGAAGCGACTATTGATATTAAGGCGTAATGATCAGTCTTGGTTGGTATATAGGCTTCCTGTGTGGATTACCTCGATATAACCTTTGTGACACAAGTTGATATAGATTAGATACATCTAACTGACGAGTCCCTAATAGGACAAAATGCTCGCCTTAGATTCCACTGCTAGTCACATAACGTTCATATTGGGAATGGGATAATCCAAACCATTTCAAAGTGAATTAAGCTGGAAAGAAGCTTTACGGACTAAAACCAAATCGAACAATCTGTGTATACTCATCCATACATATATTCCCAGTCACTACTTAATAAATTTGTAATAGTTTTAACTGACTCAGGTTCTCATATGATGATGACGAAATGATCGTGGAAATACTTTTACGTTAGATCATAAGGGAATCCGAGATGATTTTGTGAATACCAATAATGTGGGATATTACAAGCTCTAATTGCTCAGGCGGGAGCTTAGAAAACCATTTTAAACAAGAAAAATATTTTATCAAGGAATATGACAGACTAAAGAAAATATAGTTTTAAGTCTTGTAGCAAAGCATTAATAATATATGTTCTAAAAACGATACGAGCATACTACTTAAATTAGTGAATAGGTGATAGAGTATTACTGGAAATGGTAGTCTGCTTTTTATTTGCTAAGCATAGAATACACAAATATGTTGGATGTAAATAATTCGCCTAGGGAAAAATTCCGGGTCCAAACCAATCGTGTAAACAAGCTTCAAAATCCTGAAGAAACAAATGGAATATGAACATATTTTTGATCATCTCTTACCCATGGGATGTTGTTCCACTGCTTTGTGAAGTATACCTATGGTTCAGAGCCTTGGAGAGTGAGACTTCCTGATTCGCTGTAGCGGTCTGGTTGACATCCCAGTCCATGTACAGATATTATAACGATTACCATTAAAGATAATATCCTCACATGTGAATATTAAATAAAATTCTCAAGAATTGTTACTATTTCATTGTTTTCCTATTCAGATTTCGTAAAAAAGTTTGTAAACTTGATCGTGGTGAATTCATGTTGGATTATCATCTCCCACATCTACTGTTAGTATTTCCCTCTGGTACTGCTTTACATGATTTAGAATTGTACAAATCTAGATCTCTACTTATTCAAGACAAGGTAAAGTTTCATAGATTATTGAACAAATATTTCTTATTATTCTAGGAAGTACTTGAAACAAGAAGTTATAAATAAAAGAAATCAGATTCTGTGATTAGTATTGTTAAGAATGGAATGCAATAGTGAGTGCGGTTAATCTACTAGGTATTATTTGGTTTAGAAGATTGCGCGACCAACTTCCATTGTACTGAGGTTGATACCTGTCTCTACCCGACATGGATTAGCTCCAATGGTCACGGCTTCCCATCAGAACTCAGAGAATTTTCTCGCAAGACAGGTGTCTACCTCAGTACAATGGAAGATGGTCTGGCAGCTTCGTGGATTGGTTAGAGTTAGACATTAACACAATTGGATGCCGGCTCAGTGGTCCAGTAGGTTAAGCGTTCGCGTGCGAGACTGAAGGCCATGGGTTCGAGTCCCGCGGGCGGGATTGTGGATGCGCACTGCCACTGAGGAGTCCCACGACAGAACGAAACGACCGTCCAGTGCTTTCCAATGGTGGTCTAACATCAATCGGTTCATGATCTCGATCAAAAACTTAATAATCGCCACAACCCCTAAACTGATAGATGATCATGTTGTATTTGTATTCAAAAATTACTTTTTTTTTACCAAGATGTTACTATTTGTGCTATTCATTTATTATTTTCTGAGTGTGTTATTTGTAACTGTTTCTTTAAAGGCCAGTTGTTTCAGTCCGGAGATTCTTCAACCAGATCCAAATTCAGATGTTTTAGATGCTTGTGCTGCTCCAGGAAATAAAACATTACAATTAGTTTCTATGTTGTCCAATAAATCTACCATTTTCGCTGTAGATCGTGATCCAAACAGGTTAGCTCTCTCTGTTTCTTTATTCTACGCTATTAAATATTAATAATTGCAATCCATATAAAAATAGAAGTAGCCTTCGGTTCACTTACTATGGGGGAATTTTAAAGATCTGTTCATTAATTGACTTGAGGACAGCTATTTTGTTTTTGATTTACTCATTGCATGACGGCAGCATTTCAAATGTTAATCAGGGCGATTAACCTTCTGACTGAACGCTTGAATGGGTTTTTTATGCTCTTTTAATAACTTCCGGCTAAATCTACTCGAAAACTTGAACACACGAGCAAAGGCGCAAAATGTGTAAGGAACACTTTACTCCAAGGTTGGTTCGTGTGCAAAAAATCGATTGTATTTATAGCATTTCTGATGGTTTGGGACTTCTGGAAGGTTCTGGAACCCTACTAAACATAATCACAGTACAGGTAATCATCCGGTCAGCTGTGTGACACGTGACTCTCCACTTTCTAGATGTTTCTGGGAAACTTCAATTCAATGTTGATTGGACAAAATTTTTCCCAGAGTTTTCAGGGCTTCTGTGGGCTTCTTTCGAGGAATACTCTGGATATCTCGAACAAGATTCAGTGAGGGGTTGTAGAGATCGTTGAATTTCATTGAAATCATGAACTGATCTAAGTTAGATCACCACTTAAAACCTGGAAGCACTGGACAGCGATTTCTTCCCTGGTCGTGACTACTCAGCAGTACGTATCCGCTACCCTGTACGCAAGAATCAAACCCAGAATCTTCCGTTTTACTCGTGAGTCCTCAAGCTCTAGACCACTGAATCGGCATTAAACGATGTTGATCTCTAGTCTCAATCAATTCACGACATTGCGTGACCATCGTTTATTGTCTTCAGTGGGTAACTGCCTCATATTCGACAGAGTATAGATTGCATTTACTTCATTGATTTCGAAATGTTTTCACAAATGTCATCCTAATGATTTCCTCACACGAGCATAATTCAGCAAAGATTAATCCTTAGATATCAGCTTCGATTTGTTGGGATAAAATGCTGATCAAACACCATTGGATTTCTTTTCAAGGATCCATATATTTGTCTTTTATCATGTTTACTTTTTTCTTTATCAACCATCAGAATCAAATCGTTTTATAAACTTGTTAGTAAACAATTCTTAGTATAGATTAAATGTTATAATTTTTCTTTAGATTTCGACGTTTTACTGAAAATCTAATTGTCAATGGAGTAGAACGATTGTCAATAATGGATTGGTCTAATTCTAATAAACAAAATAATAAACATAGAAAATTTGTTCAAAGTTCACAACCATCGGTTGAAGCGTATTGTTCAGATTTCTTATCTATAGATCCATATAATCCAAAATTTTCCAATGTTCAATCAATTCTTCTTGATCCTTCTTGTAGTGGTTCTGGTTTATCAATTCGTCAACCAGATGGTGGTGAACAATATGAAAAATGCACATATAAAGATAGTAATAATTATACAGATGAATATAATGAAGAATATACATCTCGTTTAAAACGATTATCGAATCTTCAAGCTATGTTATTAAAACATGCATTAAAGTTTCCAAATGTTCAACGTGTTGTCTATTCAACTTGTTCAATACACCCTGAAGTAAGAATTCTTCTAATATAATCTAATTTTGTGTTATTATCATATTGTAGATATGTATGACTGGTTAGCATTTTTTTAGTGAGTTAGTTTTCTACGGGATGGAATCACTAATCCTATGTCCAACCCTCCTCCTTTATCTGAGCTTGAGAGAGGCGATAGCCCCAAAGGGGCTCCAGGCGCAGTTAAACTCTCCCATGCCGGGAGTCGAACCTGGGCCGCCCGGGTGAAAGCCAGAAATCGTCATTCCTAAAAAATACTAGTCGGCGCCTTATGCTTCACTGGGATTAACAGGCGTAGGTAAGATTTGTATAACTGTGCAATTTGTATACAGTTTTGTGTACTAAACTATAGGTCAAACTTTTGTCGTATAATTAAAATTAGACAGACCTACTTTTAACACATAATCGAATGATTTTCATTGAGATCATGGTCGATTCATGATTTCAATTAAACTCAACAATCTCTACAACTTTATAATGACATCATTCAATGTTTTACATACATGAGGGTTAGAATTAATCCATTGTTAATATTACTGTGGACTTCATTTAATCATTTTCTATTAAGATATCTGCATGCTGGGCACATTGTTCCGATTATACTTTTCAGTAAAGTTGGATTGTGACTAGTAGTGGATGCGCATTTTGTCCACTTGGGGCGTCGTCAGCTGTATGTACCTGGGAAATATACTGGGTCTAAGCTCCAAAATGGACATCAGCACTGGGGTGGGCCATGTACATCCGGCTAACGTGTTCGAAGTAGGATGAAACTCCTATCCGGGATTTCACTGTTCGCCACAATTCAACTTTACAGATCCAGTTTTTGAAAATTGAATAGTTAGATCATTGAGTCACATTTTAATGTTAATTGTTTTACATAATATCCATTTTGGGTAAACTTGGAATATTTATACTGGTTGACAGTTATTTCTGTTTACCTTGAGGCAGTGTAACTTGATCTATGGACGTTGAGATGATATGGGTAGATTACTAGTGTGTAGTCACAATTGTTTTGGAAGTGTTACTGTTGTATGTTGAATTTGTAGTGTTAGCAGTGACATGATATATTAACACCTAAATGGTTGCCTAGCACATGTCAATCTGCACGAAATTCTGAATTGAGAATAGGAAATCTCAGGATGCAGCTTGTAAAGAAGAGGGAAGAAAATAAAAAAAAGTGGTAACAGTTAGTATCATCGTTTGTCTACGTAGTGGACATACGTATTACAAACATTTTTAAAAAACAATTACTAGAGTTCTTGGCTCGAGTCCCCGAGACTTACACTATGTGTAAAAATGAAATAAAAATCCATTCAGAAATTTTGAAGGTATTTACTAGATCACTTTAAACGGTTTGGTCTACTTCATGACGCGCTATCAACCGAAAGTGATAAAACGGGGCTACAAAACAATTTTGTTAGATTCTTTCCCAACCAGTAAAGGAGGTTCTTTCTAACTCGACTAAGCTGTACCATCGTATACCCAATGTATCTCCTCTTGGGAATCTTGTCAACTTTTGTTTTTTTGGGAATAAGGTACTCAAACTCAATAATAAAACTGTTTATAAAACAACAAAAACACGCCGTTCACAACTCTTTTATGAAAGCCATTGAAAATCAGTGTAGTCTCAAACCATTGACTGATTTATTTGTAGCAGTTTGTGTCTTCTCATTCTTGATATTAAAGACTGTAGTGAATAACTTTCTGTGGATTATATGTTCATCCTCAGCAGATTGACCTATTGTTGTTTTGTGACTGCAGATTTGACGGCAGCGTACTATCGATCGGATCAATGACAGTAAAACACGTAAGAACAACCTAGAGTTCTGATTGGTCCCACTTCCCTGTCTAGCCCAGCCAGTTGAGTCCAGAACGCAAGTCTCAGCCTCTGAGATATTCTCATCGGGACACAACACCTATAAAGTTTATTTCTAATTTGTTTGAAGAGATTTTCTTCTGAAATAACGATGATATTAATTGTGCATTTTGTTGCTGTTGTTGCTGCATGGTTATGTTTATTTAGGAAAATGAAGCAGTCGTACGTGAAATTGTTGATTATGCATCAGATAAATTTTATTTAGAAACAATTTGGCCATATATTGCATCATCTTCTAATTCTATCAATCAACCAATATGGAAACATCGTGGTCTATCTGATATATATCAATGTGAATCATGTATACGTTCATCTGAAAAAGATTTAACAAATGGATTTTTTGTTGCTTTATTTATAAAATATCAATCAAATAATTCATTGAATGTTACATCACCACCACCACCACCATCATCATCATCACCACCACCACCATCAATTATGACTACTGAATTAGGCGTACCTGGTAACTCATCGTTGACATCCAATAATAATACACCAACTTCCATTGTTGTTAATTGTAATAATAATGAAAATATTAATTTGGAAAAACAAGAATTATTCACTTTTAAAATACGAAAAAAATGTAGAACTAATCTTTAAGTGATTACATTTCTGTCATAAAATTGTATTATATTTTGTAAATTAGTAACTATGACTATAATGTTGTAATCTTATAATGTTTAATTAAAGAAAAGAAAAGAACATATAAATAGACAAAACTTTTCATATATTTTTGTGTGTATGTATGTGTGTGTAGTTTTTTTTTTGGGGGGGGGTGTTGGTATAGTTTTTCTGTTTATGTGTTAATACCTTCATTTCACAGATTGAAATCATGAGTCAATTGAAGCTAGACCACCATGGAAAACCTGGTAGCGCTGGACGGACGTTTCGCCCCAGTATGGGACTCCTCATCATGAATTGATATTGATAATTTAAAGCAATTGGTCCCTTTGATAAATTTCGATGGTATAATAAGAAAACAAAGATTATCAGAAAACTATGTGATGATATTCATTTAGTGTGGTTTACTTGCATCTTTCTATTGTTATTTGAGACTGTAATTGATCAGTCTCTTCTTGGCATATGTGCATGCTGTGCTAACTGTCTCGATATTGCTTGAAATCACAAGCTTTTTAAACAAAGATGGATAGTGGCTAACAGTGAAATCCAGTTTGACGCTCATTTCGTCTTATTTTGGTACTCGTCAGCTGGATGTACCTACATGTCAGAGTTGATGTTCTTTCAGAAACCCGAACCCAGTACCGTTTGCTTAAAACGCCTAGCCGGAGATGGTGGGCTTAAAGCCCACAAATGCCTGGTATGGTCGAGAGTGGGGTGAGCCCTCTCCGTCTCGAAATGCTCTCACATAGCCACGCGTATATAGCCTCTGCCAAGGAAGTCCTACTCACTGCCTTCCCGTGACGGGGGTGTTGTTTAAGAAAATGAGAGGACGAAAAGTGAACGTTCGGCGCACTAACCGGATCCCAAACCAATGGTGCACATGGGCTCCATTATCTTGCGGGAACAAATGGCGTGTGAACCAATCTTGGTCACTGGCTACCATGGGACTGCATCTCCTCACGATGTGCTCCACTGCCTTGTGCATCAGACCTTTAGGTCAAAGGCTCGGGTTGTGGCCCCTTAAGAAAACCACCTGTTTCGGTCTGGGCACCGGAACAGTATCACAGCCCACACACAAATCACGACTTGTATGGAGCATATCTGTTCGTTGCCCCCTTTGTATCAAATAAATAAATAAACATTCTTTACAAAATTCTAACAAGCGAAAACAACGCTCTTCTAATGCATCTATTATGAGTAGATAGCTAACAAAACTTAAACAAACAAGTACAATGTTGATTTTGTTTAATCATTTTGAAAAAAAAAACTAAAACATTGTAACCCTCAACCAAATAGTTCCTATCGAATATTGTCAATAATCATGAATGTGCATAATTGTTACGAGTTTTACATATACCATTATATATGACTTTATTTTTAGGTTATTTGATCTCTTCTCTATTGAAAGTGTCGTTGATTATAATGAATACAGAACATCTTGAGAATGTAGAATCGGTAAATGGTTTTTTTAAATTTTAAATATTTAACAGATATTTTCCTTGCTACTACTATTACATATCTGTCAATTTTTAATATTCATTTAAACTATATTCTGTTTTCGGGATGGATTCATTTATTTCCAGATGTGTTTCGATTCCTGGGCATTGTCTAATATATTTACATGAGAGCTCTGATTGTTATATCCTGTAGATCTCCGACCAATATCACGTCCCAAATCGCCGATCAAAATCCTGATTTCAATTTGGTTTATTATTTATGATATAGCTTAGTGTCTCTGACTTGATGATTTACACACCCGACCAGCGCTATTGACCTTGAACAGATCACTAATTTCTATTAGGTGCACCGACTGTTCACAAGCTTGTTTTTAAGTTATGCCTTGAGTTGATAAGTATCAACCAGCTTCTATAATATTAACAATATCAAACAGACGTGGTCTACATATAAATATACTGGACCACATCACACCGATCATACATGAAGAAGCTGAAAGTGGCTTTAAATAGAACAAATTGCAACATATAGATTGTCAATAAATTATGAATATTAAATCGTATAACCGTAATTAATGGAATTGACATGTATAAACATAGTAATCTAGTTACTCAGTAATTATACAATGCAATTATAATTAATAATTATTCAAACAACCAGTTCCAACTTTTACAATATTCTTTCTATTATAACACTGGTTACGTGATCATCCTCTATCAGATGCTTAATTATTGTAACATCAAGTATAGTATAGAAATGGTATTTCTTTTTCTTGATATTGGATCTGCTATCGATTCATTACTGAAGAATTCATTATAATAGAATCGTATGCTGAAGACATTTCTGTTAGGATTTCAATAATATCTTAAGTTCAATTGTTATGTAAACCCTTAGTTTGTATATATTTAATGAGTAGTCAACACTAAGCATGATACATCACTTCCCGACTAGTCAGTCCATCGATGTATACTTCTTTCCTGAGGAACCTGAGAAGGAAACTGGGTTAGTGGTTAGTTGGTTTTGATGATTTAAGAGTGTAGTCATAGTGCTTCAGAGATAAATACTTGAGGTCAGTCACACATATCTTTTATTCAAATTGTTTTAAACAAATGAACTCCATACTTATCCGACTTTACTGCCAGCTACGGAAATCCATGTAACAAAGTAACGTGTGCTATTTTTAAGGTCAACGTTTTCTGTTTATTTTTTTTTACTTAAACGCATAAACATTGGTACAAGGAGGTACCAAATAGATATGCGTCACATAAATCATGCGATTTGTATGAGGCTGGGTGCCCAAACTGAAGCAGGTGGTTGTTTTAAGGGCGACACTTAGAGCCTTTGATCTAAAGGTCTGATCCACAAGGTAGTGGAGCAACATCAGACGATGCCATCCCATGGTAGCCGGTGACCAACAATTGGTTCATACACCATTTGTTCCTTCAGTGAGTAGGACTTCCCTGACGGTGGTTGTGTGCACATGACCATGTGAGAGCATTTCGAGGAGAGCTGACTCTCCTCACTCTCGGTCGTACCAAAGTATTTAGGAGACATCAAACGTTTTCTAACTTCCTCCATCATTTTGTTTGTAGACAATGATATTGCAGATGTTGGTTATCAAATCGTTTTATTCTTGAAAGTGATTTAACTGATTTTTAATGCTAAATATAACCTTTTTCTCTAATTTTTTTGTTTCAGGAAACTATACCTATAACTAATGAAGAAAGTATATCAAAACGAGCAAATCGTAAATTGGATCAGTATTTAAAGCGTAAAGAAGTAATTTTTATAAAATATAATTAGATTTATCTAGAAAATAAAATTTTTTTTTTCTTATTATATAAATAGGCAAGACGTGTAACAAGGAAAGCGTGTAAAGAACGTCGTAAACTTCGACAACAACAACAACAACAACAGCAGCAACAACAACCATCATCTTGTGTTATTGTTCATGATGTGAATAATGATACTTGTATATCGACAGAAATTAACCTTTCAATTCCAAATGATACTTTTACTTCACACAAAATTCAACGTTTAAAAATGTCAGAATCATTGTGTCAAACTAAAGTTGTCATTGATTGTGCATATGATCATTTGATGTCATTCAAAGACATTTGTAAATTGGCTAGTCAAGTAAGTAGATTTTATACATAGATTCATATTCACAATTTTTATTATAGATTTGATAATATGTATACATTACCTATCACTTTGTTAGTGATAATCGTAATAATAATGATAGTAATGATTATAATAATAAACTTAAATTTGTAAACTAATATTAAGTTCACATTAAGTCGTAGCACGCTGATTAACCCGTTTCTAACTGTTTGAGAGGATACTCAATACTCTTATATTCTTTATGTTTGTTGTTCCAGTTCACTTGGATATATCTTGTCTCCAACTATCGTAACCAATGGTTGGAGACTCTGGGTGACATGGCTCAGAATCAATCACACTGGCGTCGGTGTATACACTCTCTGTCTTCCCTTAAACTAAGAGATTAAAATAGCTTCATATCTTTCTTTCTACGAAATAATTCTTCCTGTATTATATCCTTATGCTCAATCTTTCTTTTATATATTACCACCTCTGAATTAATTACTTTTATGAATCCGGTGTCCATCTTGTTGTGTTAATGAGGTATGGCAACTTGGACCGATGCATATATGTGCCTGGTCCTACGTTGTAGCTGACTGACTGACTGGATTCTTGTTCTGATTTGGGAAGAGTTTCGGTTGGAGTGTCTTTCTCTAATCTGGATAGTTTAATCGTGTGTTAACAAAACTGCTAGCTTTGAAGCGATTAAGGGTTCACTTAGACTGCGAACGGAACAAAGACTTGTGACCAAAGACCAATAAACTAGCTATTCTATTGCGTCCCAGCCTCGCTAACTAGAGTGAGAAGTCGAAGTCCGAAGGGGGAAGTATATTCCGTAGAAAGCCAGAAGCACGAGCGATAACATCACAGAACCGTCCTTGGGAAGCGTTACAAAATATCATACTAAAAGACACAACGGACCAATAGCGTTCAAGATTCTCTCAAGTAGGAAATACGACATGAAGGTAGAAAGAGCGCTTTTGGCGCGAAAACAATTCAAATTTTCTAAATAAAATAACAAAATTAGGTCCTTTCCTAAGTGAGTTCTGGGGATCTAACATTCCCAACAAAAACATATTGAAGAAAATATTTATGGAATAAGTAAAGGTGTTCTCTTATGGAAGCCTGGCTTCTGACATAATTCTTCTATTTCCGAGCAGCAAAAAGTATGTTACGCTTATTTGATTTTAAGATTGTCAAGAGGATTTGTAGAGCAGGTGGATTATTTTTGGTGGAGTTCTATCCGCTGAATTGGACGATGTAATGTACAAGAAAATACTATGCCGTAGCAGATCTAACAAAAATGTGTCTTATCAGTCAAGAAAATTGATTTGATCAATAATATTGTGAACCTGAAATTGATTTATTCTATTCGGATTCGTGTTACACGTTGTATTGGTGACTCAACATAGAGTAGGCTGTTTCATTTTGAAATTCATCAGGTATTAGTCTCTCGACGTTTTGTTTGATTCCTTGAAATATTGAGAACTAATCCGAAAGGTGATGCGTAAAATTGATTAGGATAGTACAGATTTG